TGATCGATACTGTATCACTAACTGATAATGTAACAAAAAATGACGGATACTGTAGTAAATGTTACTACACTATCAGTCAATTATTGTTACATCATCGGTTTATAGGACCGATAATGTAACAACAATTGACTGATAGTGTAGTACAGTTTACTACACTCTCGGTCAATTTTGTGTAACATTATCAGTAAGTGATACAGTATCGGTAAATTTATGTGACATTATCGGTTGGTGATACATTATCCGTTGGTTACTACATTATCAGTTGTAACAAGGGGACGTTGGATTTTTGTGAGAGAAGAAAACACCGGCTCTCTAAGGCTAAAAGTGTCAAAGACATACCTCAGACCCATTAGTCACACGCCACCAACATTCAGTCTGCTATGTACATCTAACGGTATTTCTGGCTCGCTGGTTTTGTTATGATTTTCAACACATTTCGCAATTATTTCGAAGTCTTGGAATTGTTTCCCCACATTCACAGAGAGGAAAAGCAATACCTGCGTATTATTTTGTAATTGAACATCTCATGCGAGAAAAAAAAGTCGTATGATTTAGGCCTCTATGCTTAAACAGCAACACAATCGAAAAACTCGTAATGTAATAAAACTCGACTAAATGTTTCTAAGCTCTGGCAGGAGTTTTTAATTGTCACTTCGTGGTTTGTTGGTTGGTCGGTCGGTCGGTTGATAGGTATGTCCCTGGAAAATTGACCAAACACGAGCCCCCTAAGTTTTCCATAAAATACCAAATTTTAATTTTCACAATAAAAAAGCAAACAAAATAAATTAATACTTCACAAACAATGTATGTATCAATTCGTGAAGTTTATGAAAATGTTGTAAATGGAGGCAAGATAATTTATGTGCAGTAATGTAGTCACGTGGTATACAGCGCTATAATACCGTGTGAAAAAGCACGCAATATTTTACGGGACATATAGGGGGCTTCTTTTGATAATTTTTCGGGGGCAGGCTTAGCGCAGCTTGAGAGGGCGCGTGGGACGGCGCGTGGGACGCCGCGGGCCACGCTTGTACATTTTGTATGCACAATCTCCGGTCAAAGTTTTAGACTCAAATTAGGTTTTGCCCTTCACCGACGTTTAAACACTGTATACTCAGTGTGTTACCTCCCGAGTGAAAGCTGGAAAAAATCACTTGGGCGGGACTCGAACCCACGACCTCCTGCTTTCTAGTGCAGATGTCTTACCACATACCAGAACTTATTGTGCACGTGCACTTGTTTTCTACAATACTGGAGAGGCGTACACATTGGTTGTAAAAAAAAGCGGCGTAGGGACGGGGGGGGGGGGGAGGTTGACAAAAGAAGGGGGAGGAGGAAGCGGGGGAAGAAGGTAGGGGGTTGGTAGCGCGTAATGATCAACGCGCTGATAGTGCTCTCTGCACACGGCCCGCGTGGCGCACTGTATGCGAACGTGATTGAAGCCATCACTCATTTGTAACCCCCGTGAAAAAATTCTTTCCACGCTGCTGTTGCGAATTGCGAAACACCTGTAGATATAACACCCACATTTTCATCAAAGGAAATCACGATTCGAGCCCACGACATCTTTCAAACAAGTGCAAGAGCCCCCGAGACCTCAACCATCATACTTGGCTGCTTGTTTTAGTTTTGATCAATATAGGAAAGAACAAAGAAAGTGAATGCAGCAGGATTCTCTAACCTGCGACCATGCGGAACACCTTACAAATGCACTACTAACCGAGTTTCCTTGTACTAAGTCTCTGGTAGATATGGCATGCATTATTGTGTGTAAGCTTCGAAAAGACTTGTTTAGTGCAAAAAAGTACAGAGGCTTTGGGCATTCCGACTGAATGTAACGATATCACACGGATGTTTAGTCACGGCGTAACGATTTGGGTGTAACGCCATCCGGGTGTTATATCGAACACCGTGACATTGGTTACTCCTGGGAATATGGGGCATTTATGCGCGAGCTCAGCGCAAACATGACACGCACTGGTGTCTGTTGTCCAGTGGTAAATTAGGAAGTCAGCTGAGCAGCACGGAAGTATAAGAACCCGCATTTACCGTCAGAGTCCATGCAGAAACAGTAGATTGCATATGCTGGAACACAGAGCCAACCAATCCTGGGCGCGTGTGGCTTGAACTTTCTTATGGTCTACGTGTACAAGTATCCACTTAAATAAGGTAAGAAATTGAGATCTGGGGAGACCATTGGGAGAGACATTCGAACGCATTGCGACGACGCTCACGCGAAGAATCTATGGGCACTCAAAGTAAAAGAAAATGATCCTAAGTGCGCCGTGTTTCTCTCTCGATCAAACGGCTGCGTTTATTTTGCACATGCAGGCCTATTTAAATGACTGTGGGGGGAGCACACCCGGCCTATATTGGTCTGATATTGATCCGGTTTCAAGTATAGGACAAGCTCGCGATCCAAGTCAAAATGTCGAGGGAGTGAAGGGAAGGTGTAGGGGACGCTTTCATGGATTTCTCGAAGGAAAACGATCGACTTTCCGCTGTCCGAGGTATTCGACCACCTTCCTTACAGGTACATGTACACAAGATCGTTTGATCTTAAGAAGGATGCATAACAAGAAACATGTTGAAGTTTCATCTCAGTGGATACTATACATTTTGAGAAAACAGAGAAAACGTAAGCACAAGTTTGGGGTTTCGTAAGATTCTGTTGATAACGCATGCACGTATAACAAAACACTGCACCCGCCGGTACGAAGTTATCTACCTTAAAGAATGTTTTCCTCCGAATGATACCATTTCATGTGAAGTAAAACAAAGGTATTTGGTACCAGTTCTATCTTCACTTTGAGCAAGGACTTTCTCGTTCAATCGGTAGATATGTTTCCGGGTTGTTGCTATAATGGTCCTACGTGCTTTTAAACTGAAAATGACAACGAGAACTCTTATCTAAGTCTTATCGAATTGCATTTGGAGGAAGATATGTGTCCTTGGATGTCTTATCGCAACATAGGTGATTCTACATATTTACGATTTTAAAGTCATAAGATGAAACGCGCGTTATGTCTCGTTATTTTTGGATATAATTTATAATTTTGGCATCTTCGTAGATAAGTCTCATGGACTTTGAATTTTGTTTTAGCAACGTTTTCCACGGATCTTTTGTAGCTGAAAAATCTGATTTGCAGTGTACATTATGTGTCTGGATCTTTAACACGTCCATTGATAAAAGTAGGAAAGTTGGGCACTCGTAGACTCGGCAATAATTATAAACAGCACATCACAGATCCCGATTCTCATTTTAAAAAATAACATTATGGCTATTCAACACTCAACATATATAAACAGCTAGGCAGTTGTTAATAATGCCCAGAGTAATTTTTCGGTCCGCCAATTTAGAATTGTGTCAGTAATCATTTTGAAGACAAAATCTCTGGAGGAAAAACGAATAAAGCCCATTGCGTGACTAGCGGATCCTGACGATCGTGACTGCCGTTAGAATGATTTGGTGGTAAAACATTAGTTGCCATCATTGTGTACAGGATTTCGATTGATGGCAAGCAAAAGAAAAAAAAAAGGAAATCCACTTTGTTTGCAATGTTCAGCTCCGTTTCACCGCGGCAGGATATGGAATTGATATTTAATCCGACTGTGCAGACTTAAAAGTCGTGCCAGCGCTGTGTTTGATCAGACCGCGGGCAGTGATGTAAAGGAGAAAAACCTTTTTGTTTTAGTAAACAAAGCCGGCTCATGTTACACATGATGCCGCTGGTTATTGAGTTCGGCGACTAAAGCCTAAATGATTTTTATTGGGAATGGAAACAGTGTGTGGAGAAAGCGCCTTGTGGCTTTAAAGCTCTGCATCCGGTTTTGGAAATTTGTTAGCTGTTGACAACGGCTTAAATGGAGCACTCTGGCTCGGAGACACAAGATGGGAAAAAGGTTTGATGATGTTTCCATATACCGAAGTACCACTTCTAGAATAATTTGCTCTTGGCGACAAGGGACTGGATAAAGTTATGGTTGCAGAGCTTTTAGAATCCCTCTCTTTGACAGATTGTGCCTTTCCTTTTTTAGTTTAGTCTGCTGTACTGCTGATCGGCCGTAAATACCTCATGGCGCTAGAAGTCATTATTGTCTACAAACTGAAAAAGACCACAAATTTAGTTATAGAAAGTAGCAGTGTCTGTCATTAATTAAGTGGTCGGGTCCCCGGTAACATGACTGAACTGCGATATGTTTTCCCCATCCGCTCCGGCGCCATGTGAAATGAAGACTTCTGTGCATTTTTTTTTTAACCCGAGGGTTAGGGAACTGTGTTTGTTCCTAGATCTTATGTCGGGGTTTGGTCACTTTTTCTTTCAAGCTCCAGGGTGGGGATTTTGATAACTCACGAACATTTTAACCATCGGCGCCTAAATGAAAAAGATGCATTTTGGGCGCCTGACCCATGCATGTTGGAAATCGTCACTTAAATTCTGCCCCAATGATGGAGATGTGGTTACTTCAGAAGTGACAACCCTATACATCTTGGGTGGGGCAGCCATGGGGAACAATAAGCCATTTGCGAGTTTTATTTGAATAAAATCTTGAACACTGACTTAATCCAATTCATTTCACATTTGAACTTTGCATTCTCCTCCGACCAAACAGGCTGTTACTATATCACGTGATTCAGGGCAACCCCCCCCCCCCCCACACACCCATCTTCGGTATGGTCTGGTGTCTTTGTGCCACTCTCACCCATTGTGTTGGTGCTGAGCGTCTCTTACGTAACTGTGCAAGAGCTTGCCCCGAATCATGTGATTAGCAACAGTGTCATTGGTCTGGAGAATTTAAAGATAAAATGTGCCAAGCATTCTGAGCAAGTCAGTGTACCAGATGTTTTTCAAATGTAAATCGCAAAGGGTATAGGTTATTCGCAAATGGCTTATTGCTTATAGGTGTTATCACAATGTGAAGATTGTCGAATCTTGTACACAGGAGCAACTGGCTTAATAATACAAGGCAAATGTCAATCTCACCCTTTATCAATGCAGGTACTTGAAAATCAATAATGGCATCCCGCACATTCCTGCTGATACTGGCCGTAGCCACGCTACTGGTGGCCGTGCTGGGCGCTGGGTACGAGGACGACACAGAGGCGCTCTATCAGATGTACAACGAGGCAATGGCGAAGAGGGACGACCACAATTTAATGGACTACCTTTTGGAGAAAAGGGGACGAGGGGGATCCACAAGAAGTGAGTTCTGGAGAAGAAAGAAATAGACATCTGTTTAGTAGAAATATCTTTTGATATTCAGGTTTTGCCCTTGACAAAGGGTCATTGTCATATCTTGTCTTGGATAGTGTAATTGCATAGGTCTAGAACGGAATGTGCCAGTCTATAAAAAGAACTGTTTGCTCTTTAGTCAAATGGCTAATAAAAAAAATAATTAAAACAATGACATGCACGAATACCTTATGTAATTTCTCTTTTCACTTACACTTGAAACGTTGGGTACATGATTCAACGTTACACATTTTGCAGATTCAATATTGGGTTTTGCCCTTCACAGACGTATTTTATATTCCGTGTTGCCCCCGAATGATTGTGAAAACAAAGAAATCACTCGGGTGGGACTCGAATCCACGACCTCCAGCTTACTAGCGCAGACGGCTTACCACTCGACCACCGTGCTTGCCGGGATCGCAGGCTGTTTCGAATTTACACTATACACACTGTGAACATTGTGTAGACTTACTCGGAGTTTCAAATAAAGTTGCGGCCAAGCCATCACAGTTTTAGTCCTCACAAGTCAATCACAAGTTCTTCGGCCCAAAGTCGCTAAAGCTTTTCATACAACTAGTGTATAGGTAGGTGATTGGATTGTGCTTGTGGTGATACAAGCATGGAATTTGGCACACAGTCAGAGTATGTCATGAGAAAGATATTTGGCTATAGGGCCATCGCAGATTTGTCCTTGGGTAAATATAGGTAGAATAACAAGCAACGGCAGCCATTGGGAAAATTTTGAGAATTGCTTGTTATGTTTTCAAAGGACAAATCTGCGATGGCCCAATAGCCAGATATCTTTCTCATGACATACTCTGACTGTGTGCCAAATTCCATGCTTGTATCATCAAAGGCACAATTCCTCCAAATATTTCCCCTATCTGCCCCACTACACCGCGTGCATTCTTTTGCCAATGAACACTCCTGTTAGTTGTGAACTGACATGTGACTGCGTTGTGATTTGAATCGTGATGGACTTGTGATTTGGCGCATGATGGACTCGACTACACACCGTGAAATTGTGTTTGAGAGTTAGAACAATTTCCCAAGGCCTCAATTTTGTACCCTATGTTTTGTAACGGCATGTTTAGATATATGGGGATGTCTGTGACATGTTTAGGCATCGTGTGAAAGCCTAGTATAAATATAGAGTATAAACATAGTCGAGAGTAATTATATAACGTATACACAAAATTACCTACATGGCTCAAATCGCAAGACGAGGTAAATACAAAACTGGTTTTCCTCTCTTCTTTTACACTCTAAAAAGGTCCCGGGTTGACCCGGAATCCGGGTCCTCTGGATCCTGACACTTTACCGGGTGAACAGACACTTTTTTCTGGACAAAATTACACTTTCCCGGTTTTTCTGGGACAAAATGTCACTTGTCTGGTACAAAATTACCTTTTGCTGGTTTTTACGGGGCAAAATGACACAATTCCAGGTCAAACAAAAGACACTTCTGTGACTAAATTTCCGGGTCATTAATTTGACCAGGGAAAGTGTCAGGCCCCATTGGACCCAGATTCCGGGTCAAATATGACCCGGAATCTTTTAGAGTGTGGCACTCATATTAATTAACGACAAAAAACCCACAGTATATTCAAAATTGTTCTTTTTCGAAATTTGTTCCCGATGCCATTAATAATTGGCCAAAAAATGGCTAAAAATAACTGTTAAAAATAGTGGGTACAAAAACAGTGTTTAAAATCTGAGCACCATCATACAAATCCTGCCAAATATACCAAAGGAAATGTTGAATTTCTCGAATATTTTCCCCACAGAATGCATGCACCTGGGCTCCATGTGCACCTGTGACTATAGGTTCGGCCCCACAAACTCCAAACGGTACGCCAACTGCTTGAAGATCACGGCATGAGAGGTACGTGATTAGTAGCAACGATCCGCAGGTAGTACATGATACTAATGTTAGAAGTAATCAGGACAGCGTATGTTGCTAGGAGCACATGAATGGATGATCGTGAGTCATGACTTGTCATAATGTTGGGATCTTATAAAATACACCGTGCAATGGCTTTCTATGAGTGATTTTTTTTTAAAAATATTTGAACGAAGCACGCGTTTCCCCTTTGCGACGAAGTCATGGTTTAAACCACATGCCATCATGACCAACATGATTACATCATCCGATACTTAATGACGTCACCGTGTTTATACACCGAGCTGTATTCGAGCAAGAGTGGATCGGGGGGGGGGGACCATGCCCCCCCCCCCCCCCCAAAGAAAAAAACGAACCCAATTTGTTTGTTGGTTTTTTTAGTGACGTTTCAATAATTGGCATGGGCACTGCATACACCACCATCTTTTCCTTTAAAAAAAATGGTTAAAACGGTCAGAAATTGCTTCAGATCGCACCACAGAGCATCTAGAATCCAAAAGAAATTCAGGGGCCCTTGAACGGGCCCCGAGCCCCACGCCGTAATTTTTTGAACCCACTTTTTTGGGGGACCCAATATTTTGGGGCCCCCCCCCAAAAAAAAAATGTGTTCTGGATCCGCCCTTGTATTCGGGGAGCCAGGTAGGAACGTATGACAGGATTATCGAACCCACAAATTCGAGGTTTTCTGCCTGCAGCGACCACGCTGCCTGAGCTGAGACCAAATTATTGTTCATGAGGACTACAAAGACTTCCTGGTGGATGCCGAGTGTCACATAAACACATGGAATTGCAGAAATAACCATAAAGAGAAGAAAATTGAAATTCCAATTGATAAATATTCTTAATATGATTGCCAGTGTGCTAGTGCAATCCCAACTTTGCTTTCAAAAGGCAACCAAATAAAAATAACGTGACTTCTTTACAGCTCGGATCGTTTCCACCAAAATAACTGCGATGCCAAAAGTTAGCCGCGCGATAGATACCAGCAACAACTCGCGATATGCATAGCAACAACTCGCAATAGATACATTATATGGCAACAACTCGCGATAGGGATTAAATATAAAAACAACTCGCGATAGATATATTTAGCAACAATTTGCAAAATAGTACTGCTCATATAGTTATGATCTTGGTTGAAAATGCTTACCACTCTACTGTATAAAAAGCATTTTATTCTTTCCGTTTCCTGAAGAAAAAAATCTGATTGGCTGTAAAAGGTGATTAAATGATGAACAGGTTAACGTACTGGTGAACCCTCAACATTTCCTCTTGAAGACATTTTGTTTTAATGCCTTTTTTATTTCATCAATATAGCTTCATATCTTTCATCTTTTAAGCTCATTAAAGTACCTGTCCAACCGTCATGCGATCAGATTTATACTCCCCGTCCATCAAAGGGCTGAACCCAAGTCGGATCGGTTAACGAGATCGAAGAGCGGAAAGCAGATTAGAAACGAAGCAAACGTACATCAGATTTATATTTATTTGAGCGTCAGGCTGCAGTGGACGTGAATTTTTAATGGCAGTCAAAAATCGCATTGAACTTACCGGTCAAATCGCATTACTTCACAAGCGCACAGTCGCCCATCCGTAAAGCATTTTTTCGGTCTTCAGTGAATAGTAAAATTTTTGAATGTACTTTTCAGACGCGGGTTAAGCAAAGCAATCCTCTTTTCTCATTCTGAATGTCAATTGAAAATCATATCGAATTGCGTTATGAGATATGAGCGCTCCCCTTTCTGATGCAGTGTTTTGTTTGAAAGTATTGCATGGACGGATCTATACCATAAAAGCGCACAGCGCCATGGAATCTCAAGAGTTTTATTGGATTCGTTTATGGCCCCTTTCCTAAGACCGGGTAAAAGGAAGACATCACAATTGGGTTATGAACGTTATGAAAATTGAAATCTAGACAAGTCTTGCACAGTGACAGTTTTGTAAAGGCTATTTCACTATTGTGTTTCTCCCAGAGTAACGCGCTCGTGAACGTGGCTTCTGACTACAGCCGCCTTTTCATGAATGCGTTTTCGGCTTGGTTTTGTGGACGTTGCCTTTTATAGCTAAAACCTATAGGCCTGTAGTTAATGGGCACAGACATGTCTGGAAACGTTCTTTTAGAAAGTAGTTCTACGTCTCTATCCGCAGTCGTTTCGTTAACATTTTTATCAGCATTGCTGGCCGATTGTTGGCAGGGCTTGTCTGCCAACTGCCTAGAATAAAAAGTAATGGATACTGCAACGATCTCTTGGTAAATTTGAAATATTGCGGATTGTATTTAAGTACAACACCATTCCTCAGTGAAAAGAAACTCGTAAACACTCAAAGATTCAAAAAAAATTGTCTTTGTGACGAATGGGATACAAGATTATGTTACTGTGTCTTTTTGTTTTTCTATACCTTCAGCTACTCTTGTCCAAGCACTGACATTCGGGAGGGGGTATTGGGACTCTAAGCTATCTGGCCATTGACTTGATTGACTTGATTTTCTATCGGTAGCTGTTTGGCTAACTCGGGGTTTGATATTCGTTCATCTCGTCCAGCCGTACCCGTGACTGAGTTGTGTCGGATCTATCCACCGAGCAGTCATATCAGCTTGGCTTCCCTAGATCGATTGAAGTCGAAGAACTGTTGAGACGGAAAATGAGATTTCCAAGTCAAATCCCCGTGAACGAAAAAAAAATTCTTGCATTGAGCATAAGAAGAGTGACACTTTGGCGGGTTTATGGTTGTTGTGCGCGCGCACAAAAAAAATAATAAATCCGTAGTGTTTTCATTTCAGCCTCGGAGGAATTCCAGGGGGCGCTGTTTTGCATATAAAGCGAATGTAGTCTGGTGCCTTGACGTAACGATCTCTGACGTCTCTTCAATCTTTGGTCTGGTAACAGTCACTCTAAAATAGAACTGACACAACAATGACGGAGGGGGCCCTGCTTTCGTTCATGTGCATACACTTGAGGCACGAAGCCTATTCATGGGCTTCAAATAAAAGGCTGGGCACAGTAAAGCCCGACACCGAATTTCACAAATTCATAGAACTCAAAGTGTCATGGTTCATAACAGTAAAAACAAGCACAGCACATATAATGTGATGTGACATTGGTAAATCAATTGAACTGAAACCTATATTTCACGTTAATAGGCTTACTCATATACGGGGCTTTATACCAAGAAAACTAATGGCCAACTTGTTCACCATTTGTTGGTAAAAAAAGAAGTGCTCTTTCAATCGATCAAACAAGTTACAGGGGCCCGCTATTTCGACCCTGGCAGGATATTTCTCATATGAAAATTTCTTAGTCATTTCAACAGAGTTTGTAGTGTTAACGCTGGCATTCTTTTAGCAGTTACACCCGAAGAAGAAGAACCATGGATAATTTTTAATCCAATCTCTGTTTTTCTCTCTTTTTGTTTTAATTGTCCACAGAACAGTAGAAGAGGAAAGTACGACAGTGATAACAACAAGAACTCGCAACAACACATATAGGTTTATCGTAAGGAAACCCGATGAAGCAAATATAAGGCTGACAGGTTACATGTAAATTAATTCAATTTTTAAAATGGGGGGAATATTTACGGTTGGGACATGTTTTCGTATCCAAACTGTGTTTGGCTTCCGGTACTTTGGTAAGTCACGTTGGTTTAATTGTATACCGATAAATATGCTGCCTGTGAAACCATTACATGTATTATGAGAATTTTACAGAACACGATTTTTGATTTCAAGTTTGTTTTTATTATCATCAATGTACTTAATATTAAACAAACCTAGTCCTAAACCTCGAAGACTGCACATCAATGCACCCGATGACTGGTATACTTTTCAATTTAATTTTCTTCGTAGTTTATGTAGAAGGTCAAAAATCGTGATCTCAATTCATGGTAAAACTAAAGTTTGAGATTTTAGAATAAAAAGTAATAATCAACTGATCAGTTCTAGTTCCCTAATGACATGCACAACGGCAATTCTACAAATTAATAATGATCCAACTAGGAGAAAAGATTCAGAGAAACGTTCTTGTAACATAATTATATTGAACCCTGGTAATGTTTAACCAATTAAGGCCTACCTCCCTTGTTCAGGTAAATATCGAATAGACTAGATTATGACGCATATTTGTTATAATATAATCTCTAGTGTGCCACTGAATGTGGCACGGAGCATGCGCAATCCAGACCGCCTCGCGTGCGCGCAACGGTCCAATCAGCACCGCTTATTTACGATTGCTTACGTAATGCTTTGCAGTCATCTCTTTATGATACAGACGATTTGGGTTACAATGGTTGGGGCTCTCATGAATATGCAATTCGACCAAACCTCCGAAGTATTGCAATTATTTACTATGAGTAAAAAACCAGCTCCTGTTAATTTTCCCTAGTCTGGTTAAGCTAGATTGTTGTACTGTTAAGAAACCGAGATAGGTTCTGTAGCATCACTGATATTTTTTTCTTTTAAATAAACCACAATTTGTTTGACTTTCTATCTAATGAACAAGGTTGTAAAGCTAATGTTCCTCAACAAAGCCACAGACAAAACCAAGTTATTACAAAAGGATTGTATAGAGTTTAGGTACAAAATACGGTGGTCGTAGGTTCGAAGCTCACTTCAGTCAGTTTTCTTTGTAAGACTGAAAACTGATTTAAGTGACCAAGTCAGGTTTGCCGTTCTGGTATTCAGTTTACTCTGATTTTTTTTGTTAAAAAGAAATCGGAGTAAGGCTATGGTTAAACGAGGTTTCAAAAAAAATTGTCAATGGCATGCTTCGTTTGAATTATGGAGAAGTTCAACACGTACCAGCTGTAAATAATAATGCTTGTAGCGAATAGCACGCTGTTTAAGATTCGGGCGTAAACTCATATTTAACAATGTTGTGCAAGCCAAATGAAATGCGACTGTCAAAACAAAAATCTGTCAAACATAATGCCTAATTCCATTAACTACGGATTGGGTGACACTCTAAAGAAATCCGGGTCAGATTGGACCCGGAATCTGGGTTGTGTTTGACCTGATTCATTTCAGGGTCAAAATGACCTTTTACGGGTCAAACTGACATTTTTCTAGATCATGTTGGCTAATCTTGATTCTTAACCCAGAAACCTCGACAAAGTGTCATTTTTTACCCAGACAAAAAAAGTCATTTTGACCCTAACAAGTATCGGGTCAAACAGAAACCTGATTCCGGGTCGTTTCTGACCCGGGACTTTTCATGCAGAGTCACAGCTCTATACTTATCATTGTGAAAATATTTTAGTCCCATTGTATTGTTGTCACTTTGTTTGCAATATAAACATTTTAAGTAAGTTCGACAACCAGAGTAATGTAAAACCAATGGTTAATTAAATAAGACAACTATGTGCATACGTCACTAAAAGTGTGGAAACGTCACTCTTTCGTAAAATCAGCGATTGACGTGTGCAGTTAGTTGTGGTGTTATAGTAAATTGTAACCTTGCACCCGTTTTTAACTTTAATTCTCATGAAATGAAATTTAAAAAAACATAAATTAAAATTTTGCAAAAGAAAGTTTTAAATAGCTTGAAAGTATATCACTTTTTCCATGAGGTTTATCCAGTGCATGGGGATTTTAATTAAAGGGGCAATACTTTTTGAGTATACTGTGTAAACGGTCAATATCTCACCCATAACCACATGCTTTGATAGAAGTTTAGAAGTGGAAATAAAAGCACAGTGAAGCACAGCTTTAAGGAGTCCGTGTCATCAATGGCGTCAATCCGTGTCGTCGTGTGGAGGGAGGGGGATGATGCATTTATGGCAAATTCCAGAAATTGCCTGGCTGTGGACATTTGAAAAAGTGGGGTGTAGGGGGTGGGGGGATTGGACACCACGTGACACCAGGGGGCGCTGTTCGTGATACACATGTATCGAAAATGCCTAATTTTCGATAGTCCGAAGGTTCGATAGTCCGGTCCTGACCATGGACCGCTTGTGGGGTACATGTCCATTGTTTTCACTTGCAAGTGAAATCTTTAGAAAATAGGTTACCCCACAAGTGATTTTTAGAAATGGGACAAAAGGACAACAATGCTCCTACCCCAATGCCCCTACCCTTTCTGATCAATAAACCTTCGGACTATCGAACCTTCGGACTATCGGGCGGACCCGAAAAGATTTGCTAGGCAAACGTAGGACCGGATACCAACCGAAATGTCATGCGATGCTTACTGCTTTGGACTGTAGTTAGTTGCTAAGCTTGTTTTTCTTAACACGAAATTTGTGAAACCATGCAATTTAGCAGTTTCTTGGAATTGTTATCGACACTGACAGTCCTGCAAGTTGACAGTGCTGTACAATATCCAACAGAATTAACTTTCCTCAATTTCCTTCACCCTTCTGGAATGCCACCACATCTACATAAGGTTGGAATTCCAATCAATTGTCTTCGCAACCTAACACCAACAATAGCGGTACCAGAATGGTTGTCACCAATATCACACCCAACTGCCTAACAGTCACCATGGCCACAGGACCAGCAAAAGGCCAAACATCACTCATTCCACGAATTTCGACTCGCCATTCTCCTTCAGAAGAACCCAATTTCCCGTACAGCTCTGCTTTAATAGACCATCAACAAAGCACCTGGTCAAACACTAGAAATAGCCGGACTTGATCTCAGACGACCATGCTTCATCCATGGACAGTTCTACGTAGCCTGTACATGTATTTGTACACACCAGGCAGGTAGCACGACCTCAAACGTTGTTTACAAAGAAATCCTCAGCTAATTCAAGCCCTCTCCAAAGGTATGGCTACCACTCCTTTCTTTTCCCACAACCATCCTATGTATTTCTCTTCACACTCCAAAGTCCAAACCTCACATCTCAACGTTCAATCCCTTCTATCCAACAATACACACGTCACCACACACATGTTTACGTTACATACCAAGTGTGGACATTCCCTTGGTTTTGTGTTGTTAAGAAAAAAACAGTGAAAAAAAAAAATCATTTTTCTCAAACTGTGAAAACTCTTTCAACCCAATTTTTTTCTATTATCCCCTTTAGTGTTTTTCTTCATTTTGCCACAGATAAACCTAACCCAAAATGCCTCTAAACCTGTTTTCCAGATTTGGGGAAACACTGTGTGGACTTACCCAAGTCCACACAACGTCGCCTCTACCTGGTTCATGTGGACCTCTTTTGTTCGGTAGTCCACACAGTGAATGAAGTGCCTACCCGTACCCACAGTACACCGCATCGACTTCGTTTCACCACACCGCCCCAATGCTGACAAATCTATGATGTGCATTACTTCCCATCAGTCATGTAAAATCAATGTGTCACACACACACACACACAAACTTTTAAAATGCTTCACAAACAACCATCCCCTCCCCCAATTGCCTTTTTCCCCCGAAGCATACTCAACTCAACATCCCATCCCACAAGTTCATCACAAACCCGATCATGATCGGATACTAGTGTCTTATATATCGCGTTTGCAGAAACGCCACGATGTGTCTGTAGTATACGTCTTTACATCGTTTCATTTTACGGTGCATTATGATACACATTAAATTAGAACCCAGATGGTGGAATGATAACGGAATATTTTTGGACAAATTTGGCAGAATTGAACATAACACGAACATTATTATTTCCTCTAAAGCCCGTAATACATTTAGTCGGTGGTCGAGTGGTAAGACGTCTGCACTAGAAAGCACGAGGTCGTGGGTTTGAGTCCCACCCGAGTGATTAGTTGTCCAAATTTCACTCGGGACACTGAGTATACAGTGTGTATGCGTCGGTGAAGGGCAAAACCCAATAATAATTCTTGTCAAGAAGAATGTGTCCCTTCTCCCGCTGTACTTGACACCTGCCACACACCTGCCAACCTGACGACAGCGCACTATCAATATTCAGCTATATTGAAATTCAGCCCCCTGCCGCCCCTTCCCAAAAAATAATTCCCTCCAAAACTCAGAGCGCTCCTCACTGTCGAACCGCTTTACCAAGATAATTTATTCAATCATCTTCCTCGGTCGCTGGATGTGGAGACCTTCTTGTAAATACTAATCCGAATTCTTCGCACCGGCTTATGAAATAGGCTACAGTTTTAAATCGATTACAAAAGTATGCGTGTGAACTGACCCAAAAAATATAAACAAATTTGCTGCAATTTAATGAGTACAAGTAAAGCAATATCCTTTAAAGCAAGATTTCTTGAAAGCGGTGTACCTCTTTTGTGTGAACACTCTTACTTTTGAGTTCTTGAAATCCCCAGTAAGTTCAACTAAAGACAGATAGAAAGTTTTAACTGTTGAAAATGAAGGCTGAAAGTCATTATGACCATGGTGTGACGGAAACATTCTTGGGCGTTTCATGTTGTCTTCTCTCTCTACAAAAACGAAAAAAAGTGGGACGGTGAGACACGCCTCTTAATGCTGTTTGATATCACCACGTTTCCTTTGTATGAATTGGGTTAAGCATCTAGGACGAGTGCTATACCAGTTAACTTTGAATCGATAAAAACCGTGTTATATTTACAATTGATAGAATTCCGGGTCTATTCATTGAAGAGCGAGAGCACCTGCGTGTTATAAATTGTGTAAACAGGTGTCACTGTTGATAAAGAAATGTAGTAATTGTAGTAGATGTCGGTTTGGGTATATGGAAGGGGGGTCCCAGACGGTTCGGAACCAGGTGCATTTTGCAGCATCTCAGGAGTTCAGATTGTACCTATACTAGCACCCTTTACCGGGCAGTGATCTCCATAGAATGTTTCCCGGCCACATAAAAATATGGGACCGGTATAGTTAGCTCCCATTTAAAGCATTTTATTGGATCACGATTATCCGAAAACTCACTCTTGCCTTACCACAAAAAGTACGAAAAGTTGTCAGTGTCTCAGCTCCATGGAGGCAACTTTCAAGCATATCAACTGCATAGGTTTTAAATACTGAACAGTAATTTCCCTCTCTTTATTGATATTTGCCAGAGACACTTTTGAATTCAGCAAAACTCGAGGCTCATCACCTCGGAAATAACCAATTGCGGCGTGGCCTATTACCATTTTGCAATAGGCTGGTTGCGCGCAACCATCACCGTTGTGAGTTTGAATTCACGTGGCGGGATTAAGACTTATACACGTCATGCATACTATTTGCAAACATCAGGAGGAATGCCTCCTGTGTAGTCAGGTTCACTGCTAGCTACCTGTCCCCATATTTGAAGTCCGAATGGTAATGGGGACGGGGAACCAGACTATGATCTCCATTTAAACAGGATAAATGGACACTTTTGAGACAATGGCGGCAGCAAACACACCGGTCCTTTTTTTCCCCCATTGTTTGCGTCATATTGTGCATGCGCGCTTTACCTTAAACATGACGTAGACAATTGAAAAGGACGGTGTGTTTGCTGCCACCAACGTTTCAAAGGTCTCCAATTCAAGCCGAGTAAAGCTAGTCCCAGAGCGCAGAAAATTGTGTCCAATCGATTTAGAATGGCATTTTTATGGCAATCCATTGGTAGTCTTCTCATGCATCTGGTCTACACAATGGGCCAATGGGCCAGATATAGCCCATTCATTGGCGTTAGTTACGGTGTATCGACCGTATTCACGTGGACGCCATTTTTGATCGTGTTCCCTGAATGTATTTTATAAATTGTAAACCATTGAATGGGATGGTGCCAGACCATTTATGCGTCGCAAGCCTCACTTTCATGCTTTGCTTTAATGTGGCTTAAAATATTAGTATCAGAGCAGACTGGTATCGATTTGTAATTAACTTTATTTCATTGCTTTCATTTCTATTCGCAAGTTCAACAAATGAAGATTTTACCTCGCGTTCAATTTGATATGGCCGTTTCGTGAACAAAGCCCACAGCACTGCCGGTCCCTTCATCCGTCCGCAACCAGTCACAACTTGGTATCCTGCAAAACAATTTACGTAGTAGGATGGAGGATTTGTGTGTACGAAAATAAGTTTTCAGGAGACATGACTTCCCTTAAGAAATCATGAGTCATTTTGCCAGTAGCTATCTGTGGACTTAAAAGTGTGGGGAATCAGGTGATGTGAGAGGATGGTACATCTATACGTGCTGACATGAGCAGCATCTCGCCCCAGGATGGGGGGAAAGCCAAGATGCTGGAATAAAGCAGTCAGGCTGTTTGCTCTATATGACATAAATTGGATTGAATTCTTGGCTGGTAAGACCTAATTTGGTCCAAATTTCACGAGAAAAACGGATCCGATTAGCTGGGTGGATCCTATTAGGGGCACTGCGTCGCCCCCGGCCGGGAGAGCTCCCATGCAGTCGCTTTGGTGGTTTAGGGTGCCGGCGGGAATCTCTTGGAGGACAAAATAATTTGGATCACAAAGGGAGTGATGATCGAATTGCGCGATGGCCGAACATGTGATGGCGGTAAAAGTCGTGAAGGAAAAAAATTGCAGTGAGTCCCACAAAAGGAAAAATGTTGCATCCCGAAAGCCACTTTTTTCATCATATATTATCTCAACGAAGGTCAGTCATTGCAGAAATGTTGAAAAGACATGAATATGGGACTTAGAAACATTTCCCATTTAGAAAATACACTTGACTCTCCATAGACTGTGTACACAACCGAAGAAGGCGTCTGGATGCTACATTCTTTCCCTACAAAAACTCCCATTACTAATGGGTCAGGTGCACCTTGCAAAATCTGAATATTTGGTTTGTGATGACTCAACTTGTTTAAGAGGACTTCAATTACGACTCAACTTATTTGACTTGCAGTTAGAGCAACAAGAAAGCTATAGCCACCCCCTAGCTAACTTTCCCATAGTATAAGGGATGTATTAATTGGCGATTTCTTGTTCAATTATGGTATAGAATAATTGTTCAGGGCCCATTTTTTTGCAACGCATGTGGCGTAACTATAGGGTTAAACTTCTGGGGCACCTATAGGGATGCACACATTTTTCTGGATGGGCACTGAAATATATCATTTGCCTTCAGTGACTGAAGGCAAATGATATATTTCAGTTCAATTCAAGATTTTAAATGGGGTGGGGTGGGGGTTGGGGCACGGACATCCGCGCCGGGGGGGGGGGACGTGCCCCCTGTGCGCCCCCCTCCTGTAGTTATACGCCACTGTTTCTGGGTACCTCCAGTAGAAATATCGTGTTTTTTGAAGCAATGTGGAAGCTTCACTTCAATCTAAAACTTGAGGGTTATTGAAATCTAAAATTGAAGGCGAACGATTAGCGCGTCACCTATTGTCAGATGGTGTCAAGACTACTCCGTCCACAGCTGTCCTCGGCCACCTCCGCTCGATCGTCCCCACTGCTAAAGAGTAGTGCGCCACCTTCAGTGTCAAATGGCGTCTCAGACTTGTTCCGTTCTGCGGTGTTTTATCTGCGTCCAGAGCCATGAATCAGAGAAAAGTCGAAATTTATTTAGGAAAGAATTTAGAAAAAAAATTACTTCTGGGGAACAAAATAGAAAAATGTAAACTTTATGGAACTCGAACCCCCAACCTGCAGCATTTCAAGGGCGGATCCAGAATGAAAAACAGAAAACATTAAGCCCCAAAAACCTCACTGTATGTAGGTCCACTAGGTTAGCTCCCCCCTCCCAAACTAGTCTTCGCCTAATACAGCAGTGATCGATAGTGATTGTTGTAGAGCGCCCTCGCATTTACAACTGTTTTAACAGGCGAGCTGGTCTAATCATGCCGTTAGAGGGCGCACTACTTCCAAATGAACGTGAAACGATGGAAACGACAATGCACATGCACGATACGCTGGCGCCATGATCTAAACATGCTTCCAAACAAATCAAATAATTAAAAAAATCACTAAACAAAAGCCAAAACGAGGCAGATGAGGGTCTATGCGTTTGACTTGATTTCATACGTATCAATTTGTTCGTCCACTATGCCGGACCATTTTTCATAAAATCTCGACGGCGAAATTTTCCCGAGATAGGCCTATTCATTTTTCATAAAAATGAATTTTTGTTTATGGCAAAAATTAATGGTACGTTGTGTATTTTCGAACCGAATACTTTAAATGACCGAGGTAATTTAGTCTGTTTTATGTGGCGTTCCTTTTTTGAGTCCCCAAAATAGGCCTACCGTTATTTAGGCGTATCTTCGGCCTGCAAAAGAAAAAGAGAACATATCAGAAAAGACTCAGTTAAACTAACAAAGTCGGAGCAATTTTTATTTATTTCATACATTTATTTCGATGCTGCATAAAGGACGATACATAATGTTATATATTCAAATTGGCAATACATGTACATATATATATATTTACAATGTAGTGAACATTAACTAAATGGCAGCATCTAGGTCCGGGGTGAAGCATCAGCTTTTGTTCCCCAGCCTATGGACAGAAAGACAAGTGAAAGACATACATGGAAAGACAGAGCACAAACACCGGTGTAAGACAGTAATCAAGGTTGTTATTATCCCTATTACATTGTTTAAGTATGCAATTAAAAATTGATTTTTTTAGTTTTCTAGCAAAAATAGAGAGAGTGGGTGATGATTTAAAAGTGTTATCCAGACTATTCCAATATAGAGTGCCACGTTGGACAACACTGTTTTTGGACAATGTCGTTCTACAATAATTAACATACAGATTTTTCCTAGTAGTACTGCGGGTATTATATGAATGAATGTTTGAAGTGTAAAACAGGGGTTAAAACAAGCAGGTAATTAGCAATATTAAACCCTGAAATTTGCAATCAAATATAAAATAACTACCAAAAACACAGTCAAGGAAAGTCGTCATCACAACGAAGTTGTGGTGAGAATAGACCGATCCATTTAGCCCCGACCACTTATCACTCGAGCAATTAACACGTGCTTCTCTCCTATTATGCCATTATCTAGCCGCACGCATCATACACGCGTCCGAGTTAGATATTAGGTCCGAGTTGGTCAAGTCCGAGCTGGCCTGGGCCCGATTTGGTATGTGTCCCAGTTGACATGCACGCCTTTAAGATGTGCACCAGACTCATCTGTCGTTAGCTAGCGTGTAAAAACCCTGTCTCGTTCCTCAAATCCTTCATTTACAAGTCATTGTCTGCACGTCGTCCACGTTTTTGCGGTGTTTGCTTGCCTGAAATTATCGTTGTGAAAATCACCAAAGATGACGCTTTTTCACTTTGGAAATTGCGTGGCTTTGGCGTATATACCCTACTTCATCACGTACAAGTACTCAGGATTGTAAGTTGCCTTGAAATGCTCCAATAATTTTGGGAAAATGTTTAACGATTTATCTCATTTTCATGACATGTTTTGTTTCATCATTGATTTTAATCTTAATGATTGTAAAGCGCACAACACGTCAACAGAGGGCGCGTTAGTATTTCCTTTTTAGGCCAAGTTGAAAAAAAAAAATTATCATGCATGTTTCCTTTTAATAGTTTTATTTTTTATTTTCTATTTAAAAATGCCTGCCAAGTATTTATTAGGCCATGAGGTTGAGAATGAAAGTTTTAGATTTGCGTCCACCGCCTGCACCTCTCCGCAGCAGCTGCAGGAAAATTATTTTGCAACTCTTTCATCGTGATTGTACTACTAGTACGTCAGTTATCTGCCAGTAGACACATCAATGTTCACCTCACCTCGTGATTTCACTTAAAAACGAAAAACATTCACCCAAAACTGGGAAACATTTGATAGGCGCACTAGAGCCCAGTTTGGATGCATACATCAGCTCGGCAGCGGTCTTGGCGGACATTTGTAGCATTTTTGGTTCCTGGTTGGTTCATTTCCCAAATACTCTGCATGGGAGTTTATACAGGAGACCAGAAACACCGGGGCAAACCCCTTCTCTTAGCGATAAGTGTCACTGGGTTCTTTAACATGCATTGGATTACACAACACACGGGACCTACGGCTTTACGTCCCATCCGAAGGACGAAGCAAAAATGGTTAAGTGCCTTGCTTAAGGGCACAAGTGTCCACCCTGCGGGCTAGAACCCACGCCACTGTTGCCTCTGAAACACCAGAGCATGAGTCCAGTGTTCTTAACCGCTAGGCCATGACACTCCACAAACTATTGATATTGATGTATGCGGTGCGCGTGACGTGACATGGACACACGTCACCACCTGTACCCAATGATACTGCTATATATGTCATCATGAATATTTAATTTGACATGAATATAATATTCATTAGCCTTATATTTTAACCCTAACTCCCTAGGCATTTTTGCTAGGATGTAACCTCAATCCTGCAAAATCCTCCAACTGCCTCCATGTAAAAATAGCATATAGCCTCGATCTTGCAAAATCCTCCGTCATTTCTTGAATGTGGCTCTTACAGGGGTGACCACTGCCTCAATCCTGCAAAATCCTCCAGCTATGACTGTCAATATGTTGAGGCAGAGGCAATGACATCCTGGAGTAGTGCGGAGGATTTCAAGTATAATGCTAGGCTGAGCATAAACAACACAAGGTCCGGCCCAAGACCTTGACACAGTGCGTCCTCCGAAATCAGCAACGTACTTTTGCCATGTAACCTCAATCCTGCAAATTCCTCCAATTTGCAAAAAGGATTTTGGAGAACAATCGTTCGACTAGTAGTGTAGCGGATAAGGCTGGTGTGATTAAATAACAAGATTGTGGGTTCGAATCGCGGTGGAGTAAGTGTGGTTTAGGAGGCTGTATTTTTTACTAGTTTCATTCAAAAATGACTTTAGCAAATGAAATTCAAACACGTTTTTTCCTTTCCCTTGTGCAGTGCATTCATAGGGAAGACGTGCTGTGGGCCTACATGTAGTTGGTAAAGAGATTTAAAGTTCCCTCAGCTGACAACCACTGATGACAGAAGGCCAAGAAGATAGTCATGTTTGTTAGGTGGTTTGTTTGTCATGTTTGTTGGGCTGTTTGTTTGTCATGTTTGTTGGGTTGTTTGTTTGTGGGGAGTTTTTAAACTTGCTGATTTTGTTCTTCTTACTTTGCAGATCGGAATACAGTGCATTTTGGAAATGTGTTCAAGCAGGAGCTATGTACCTTTTTACACAATTATGCAAGGTATGTTACATGTATTTATCTTCAAATATACTTCTATCCTCGATTCTGATTGGTCGATCCATGGCAACAACAGTGTGATATACTGTATTGCACGGTCCATATCGCACCAAGTTGCGCTATAGGTCGTGTTCAAATGACGTCATATCCTACAGACCCTCCACGTGGATCGGCTTTTTGAGCGTGGACTTACATAACACGCATTGGCTGCGTCATATTTCTAACATTTTAAATTTGTATTTTTTCCTTTTTATTCTTTTTTTTTTTAGATGTTGATTTTAGCCACATTCTTTCCCACCTCTGATGGCACCACAGGACACCTCGACATTATTGGAGTAAGAAATGGTCACTTGTCTTTCACATGTACTGTTTATTCATCCGTCCAATCTTTTTCTTGGTTTCATCTATCAAAACAATCAAATTCTCAAATTAGGTTTTACCCTTCACCGACGTTTTAACACTATACTCAGTGTGTTACCTCCCGAGTGAAAAAAAAAGTCCATCTTATAATAGTTTATGCGGTACCCACTGCTATGTACATGTACATCAGATTCAAACCAGCCAACCGATCCCGTTAGCTTGGTGGTCGAGTGGTAAGACGTCTGCCCTAGAAAGCAGAAGGTTGTGGGTTCAAGTCCCACCCAAGTGTTTTTTTTCCAACTTTCACTCGGGAGGTAACACACTGAGTATACAGTGTTTAAACGTCGGTGAAGGGCAAAACCTAATTTGATTTATATCACCCTGATGCAAAATTCCATCTTATAAAACAAATTCTCGGCTGGGAACACACTGTGTGAGCGCTAACTCTACAGGCAAAGCGTGGTTAAGGCAAAATCTTAAGGGTTTTGAAGTGCAAAAGACTGGGAGGGTTAAGCCCTAGGTTTGTATAAAGGATGTGTCTTTGTGTTTAATTTTGTAAATGTTTAGCAAATATTTTAAGAACCGTTTAAATGTGACCTGTTCTGTCAAAATCAGACTCTTCTGGGCATAAGGTCAAAAATGAGATTTTTGCACATTGTTAAAATATGTTCTATTTCCTTTTAATAGGTGGTTTAATTTTTGAAACCGGTCATTCCTGGGCAGAGTTATGCTATTTTGAAGTTCAATGTGTCGAAAAGTAGAAAACTGAGGAAAAGTCCACAAACGTCACAAAACAGTAATATCTTCAACTGATATACCTTATCAAATCATCAAAAATACTATATTTAGAGCTCAAATTAGGGTTTCAAACTTTTATAATATATTTTAGACATGTTCAGGATTACAAATATGCAAAAATTTGAAAATCGAAAAAAATCACCCCCACAGCGTTTTTTGGCCCTATCTCAATTTCAACCTCTGCCCAGAAGCGTCTGCTTTTGACAGAACAGGTCACAAATGCTTAGCACATTCACACATTCACACAGGCTGAAACCTGTCCATTATGTCTGCTGACCGGCGTGATTGACATGATCAATCAACAATGATAGCGTGCAGTCATTGAAAAAGTAAAAATTGAACTTTGTGCACCCAAATGTAGTCAAGTACTGCAGTGCTTCTCAGGTTTTGTAAATTAAATAGGTTTGAAAACGTGGTTAATTATTTGTGCTATGTATGTTTAAAGCTATAGTCCATCATTTGTAATTAGTGCATTTTGTTCGTTTGAAGCAACAAAAGTGTTCAAAATCTAATGAAGGATACTGAACAACTTACTTGATGAAGTTTCAGCTCAGCTTCAGCTTCATATTCCGAGAAAAACAGGTTTCTAGGATCTCAATTTAAAATCAAAAGTTGCTAAATCATGTTTCGAATTGCAGCTTTATGCGAGGTTGCGCACTGATCCAACGAATTATAGCAACCGCGCGCGCCTGTGCGTCGTTCCAATGCTTGTGCGCGCTACGCTGAATAACAAAACGAACAACTAATTTAAATTTTCCTACGGTACTTCTTAAGAAGCACCGTTGAAAATGCCTTCTTTCGTTGATTTCTTCAAAATGAGAGCTTGCCAGAAAGGATAATTTCACAGGGAGTTTAGTCCACTTACTATCTTTCAACCAGTATGTTTTTCAACAATAATTACGCCGGTTACTTTTTTGGATAGCTGCAAATGATGGACTTGGGCTTTAACTCAAAGGAAGATTACGTGAACGTAGGTTTTGTTTTAGAAAATTTGTAAACGGATTTAGAATTTGTTTTGTTCAAACGTAAACGTCGCATTCTTGTTTTGTATCTACATGTTTCTTTTTTTTTGTGCAGGAATTTATGAAATCCACCGTTGATCTGGGTGACCTGGTGGGCTTTTACTTCATCCTGACCAGCGTGGCAGGCAAGGGGGACCTTCGATTCATGACGGCAGGCGTTGGCTGGGCCACGGCGGAGCTGATCGTCACCCGAGTCCTGCCGCTGTGGTTTGGGGCCAGGGGCACGGAGTTTGATTGGAAATACATTCAGATGAGTCTGGAATCCAACGTCAATTTGGTGAGGGATTAAAAAAAAAAAAACTAAGGCCAAAAAAAAAAAGTCTCCGGTTTCTGGTATGCGCAAAATGAAAACGTTTTTTTTTTCAATGAAGGATGATGTCTCAAAACCGCCAAACTCACTGGTTTGACTGGAATCCTGCTGCTGCACAATTTGAACGTGTTTTTAGATGGGGTTATGATCGGGAATAAGCTTTATGTGGCCTCTCTGGTCTCCCATAATATTTGCACTAAGTTTAGTCGTGCACCATTTGCAGTCATCAGCCGACATTTGAAGCAAAAAAAAACAGGTAAAAAAAAAAAAAGCTGCCTCGCCGCACCACTTTTTGGGCAAGCTCCATACCAGAAACCAGAGACTTTTTTTTTTGGGCCTAAGATGTCTTAAGAAACAGTCTCGTTCAATATCCATAGGCATGCTTATGGGCTCCGTGCACAAGTACCCAGGCATGCAACTTTTCCTCGGATCAGCTGATTTCCTCAATTTTTCACTTCACACTTATGCCATTGAAAATTGAAAAACACTGTACAAAGTCTTGCAAAGATGGGAATTTCCTCATTTTTTGTTAAGTCCAAGTTGCATGCCTGAGTACCCCCTCAATTGCTAAGACTGGGAGAGTTCGGGGAGACCACTGGGAGAGACATTCGAACGCACCTCCGACGACGCCTGACGCTCATGCGAAGATGCCATGCATTTGTGCACATTTAGAATAAAATTAGTCATGCGTACTTTGTGATAAATGCACACGAATGTGTGCGCGCACTGGGCTCTCAAAAGTGGTCCAAAAGCGCCCTCTCTTGTTCACGCACACAGCCCATAGCCTTCCAATTAGCGGGCGCTTTCTATATCGGGTCTTCGGTCATTGTCTACCCGTTGTCGCATCATAGACATGGATAAAAAAAACCTAGACACAGCATTACAAAGGCTGTGGTCATGCGCTCTTGTGTTGCGCGATACTCGCAAGCTTGTCTAGGTTTTATCGATCTATATGCCCGGCCGCAATTGTTGTATTACAAACCACTGCATTCGAATTGACCAATCAAACAGTTAGTCCTGATTTGGGAATGAAACGACGTCACGATTTAGTAAAGCTGACTCCGATTGGCTGAGGCGCGGGATCGCATAAATCTGCATGCTTAGATGTATGCAGGAGACTGGGCTCTGTGGATAACGGGTGATACTCAGACTAAGTTGAGGCTGGCACATGTTTTTCAAACTTGATCAGCGCATTTTGAAAACGAATATTTGAATATTCAATCAACTCCAAGTTGGAGTAATCAAATGCTTAATGTAAAAAAAAAAATGCACAGCCACAATTCTCATTCATAATTTTTCAGTCCTGCGTCCTTTCAACACTTGACTTACCGCTTTCTCGTTGCTTAATTTTTTCTCTTAGATTCAGCACTTGGCCACAGCGGTCCTGGTGTGGCTGTGGAGTCGCCATGATCTCAACAAATCCCTCAGACCCATCGTAGTCGTCCTGCTGTTTCTTAGCTGCTACAAACCACTCATTGTAGAGTAAGTTTTTGCCTCCGTGATTTCAGTAATGCAACCTGGTTCCCCTTTTGGCATGTAGGCTAATTTTCGCAGAGCTGCTCAGTATTTGCTGCCGTAGTGTGGGGTCACCTCCCTCCCGGGTTAGGCTACCTTCCTTGACAAAGGTTCATGCGCATTCCATGACGACAAATTTCTCGTACTTTTAACACCCATGATCACAGATAACAATTTTACATCCTATTTTTATGGACCATTTTCAAAAATTAGTACCTGAAACGGGTAAAGTGTGTCACCACAACAGTTTAAACCACAGTTGTGCTTATTTTCGCTTCCAAGATGAGATTCGAGCCAATTATATAACTTGGGTTTTCAACCACTATGGCAAAAACACTGTGTTCATGTCAGGCCGCTAGGTAACCATGGTTACACCTCGTTGACCTCTGAGTGACATCATGGGTTCGGCAGCCAATTGTGGGTCGTTTGATGTTCGGGAATTAAAAGTGGCCCAAATAGTGTTTAATACTTGTACAACCGGTAGATTTTTTGTTAATCTGTTGACTTTTTTCAACAACGATGTTCGTTACGTTTTGTACATTAAAACTGGGAGCCAAGGATGATGTTCGGTATAGCTGAATGTTCGGTATAGCGGTGTTCGGTATAGCAGCGTTCCACTGTGGAGTACTGTGGCCTCGTGGTTAAGGGCACTGATTCGTGGTCTGCGGGTAAAGCTGCAGGTTGTGGGTTCGAGTCCTGGCGGGGTCATGGTGCGTGTGCCCTTGGGCAAGGCACTTTGTCACTCATTGCTTCTCTCCACCCAGGAGTAAATGGGTACCTGTGAGGGCAGAGATGGTCATTGTGATTGAATTAGCTTCCTTGCGCCTAACAGGCTGCATCGAGCTGTATACTCCCCAGGGAGCTGAGATGGTATTTTGGAATGTTTCATGTGCCCAATGAGCAGGGGTAATAATGATGTAGCGCCTTGAGCACCAGTCCTGGTGGATACGTGCGCTTTATAAATATCCACTATTATTATTATTATTATTATTGTATTACTATACATTTACCTCATACATATTCATGATCAAGAACCCAATTCTCATTGGTCCATTCACCGTCACATCACTAATTTTGCTTTACAAAGCAATCGTGGAACTAGCGCACTGGGGTAGGGCCCAGGCACAACCATTGCCCTAGCTACATGAAAAAAAAATTGGTTACATGCACAGCAACATTTTGCAGAGATAACTGATGCGTAACTTGTTGAAATTGTGTTGAACATGTACAGTGTATGAGGTATAGTAAAACATATATAACATGGTTTAAATCAGGCAGATAGTCGATATAAGGCCAAAAAAAAAACCAGTTCTGCTTCCGATTACATGGCATTCGAAAATAGGGTAGGTACTAGGTAGGTAGGGAATTTTTAAATTTTTTTTGGCAATTTTTTTTGTGTACGATCATATGGAGGCGTCTGCGTGAAGTCAAGGGTAAAAGGTAGTAATTGATGGTTTTGGGTGGTTTTTGTCTCATTTTTCTCATAAAAAATTAGGGTAGGGGCTGTCGGAATAGGGTAGGTAGGGAAACCGGAAGCAGAACTACTATTTTTTTTGGCCTTAGCTCCCCTCAGTGTAGGAAGTTGAAAAACTAGTTTTCGCCTCGGGAACTAGTTTGTAAACTTCCAAAATCTTGGGAAGCTAACATCGACTATCCATCCTCAAATCTTGTTATATTTGTATAATTTGATTATCTAAAAAAATGTTATAGTTTAAAGAGGTTGTGGAATGCTAGAAGACATTTCCGTCATTTTTCGGGTATATGTAGCCTAAGGTGTGATGAAATAAAAACGACTATTGTGTCTGTCATGAAATGAGTACAAAAGGTACTTTTGAGAGCTGTTTTTCAGGTCCTGTTTCGACCCGAACGTGCAATTTGTGTAAAAGTCGTCGTTGGAGGCAGCAAACAAAACATAGTAAATCGTGACGTAATAAACAGGACTCGTTTATACTACACTGCATCGGGAGTCCTTTTTATTACATCACGATTTACTATGTTTTGTCTGCTGTCCCCAACGAGACACAATAGTCGTTTTTTTTTCATCACACCTTAGGCTACATATACCCGAAAAATGACGAAAATGTCTTCGAGCATTCCACAACCTCTCTAAATACATGTAGTTTCCGAGATCATACTCTCGAACATGTTACATCCAAAGTGCAATCTTAGCTCTTTCTATTTTAATGGGGAAAAAAATCCGTCCAGTATCCAAGGATGACATTTTGGTCAGACATTGGACATATAAAGACAATTTACCACATTTTCCCAAAAACCTTTGTAGTGTAACTGTGTGCATGGCAACTCAGTTGAGCTAGGTCAGTTTTGTCCAAACTGCTTTTGTGTCAAATGTCGCCCTCTGTAAAATTTTGCATTGTCATGTGTTGCCTAGATTGAATGTGATCCATCTTTATACTGTCTTATTTTGACTTTTTTCCCCAATACCTTTCTTTTCTAGGATTCTCATCCACGCCGTCGGTCTAGGGTCCTGGGTTCTCCTCCTGGCCAAGTTCTTCTTTACGTCCTGCGTCGGACTCGTCGCCCTCCAACTCTACGTGGGTCTCACATCGGGGACCGCCAACCACTTCTCAGCAAAATAAATTGGTGGTGAATTTAATTAGCTCTGTTACTGTCTGTAAGATCACGTCATATTTACTTGTGGTTGCACAACACCGACTTTCAGAAAGTGTTCAACCTTAACCCTAACTCCCTAACGTCTTTTACTGGGAACTGGACCAATTCCATCAAAATCCATCAATCACTGTGCGTCTAATACAAAAACTGTACATGACATAATGGAATCCACCACTGACGCACTGGTTGACATTCATGGACTTGCTACACATGGCTTTTATCACAATAGCATTACAGGAAGCTAGGCAAAATCAATCGGATACCTCTAGCACTGCTTCAGGCCATTAGGCCTAAGTCCATCATACTCCATCAATATTTAGTCACGCCAGGCCTTTTGGACCACGCCGCCCAAAATCCACCAAAATGGGAGGATGGATTTTTATGGAGTTGGGGTGGTTAGGGTTAACCCCCATCAGGTTTTCTTTAGGTTCCCTGCCGTTGCACAAATGAAATGAGAACCCTGATAAATCCATACACTGCAACAATGGATTATGTTGCATTGCGCTGTGAACCCAGTACACACCAGCTTTGGCACCAAGCAGTTACCATGATAAATGCAACCAAATGCAACAGTGGATTCTGTTGCTTTGTGCTGTGAACCCAGTACACACCAGCTTTGGCACCAAGCAGTTACCATGATAAATGCAACCAAATGCAACAGTGGATTATGTTGCATTGCGCTGTGAACCCAGTACACACCAGCTTTGGCACCAAGCAGTTACCATGATAAATGCAACCAAATGCAACAGTGGATTCTGTTGCTTTGTGCTGTGAACCCAGTACACACCAGCTTTGGCACCAAGCAGTTACCATGCTAAATGCAACCAAATGCAACAGTGAATTGTGTTGCATTGCGCTGTGAACCCAGTACACACCAGCTTTGGCACCAAGCAGTTACCATGCTAAATGCAACCAAATGCAACAGTGGATTATGTTGCTTTGTGCTGTGAACCCAGTACACACCAGCTTTGGCACCAAGCAGTAACCATGCTAAATGCAACCAAATGCAACAGTGGATTATGTTGCATTGTGCTGTGAACCCAGTATACACCAGCTTTGGCACCAAGCAGTTACCATGCTAAATGCAACCAAATGCAACAGTGGATTCTGTTGCTTTGTGCTGTGAACCCAGTACAGTCGAGTCTCGTTATAACAAACTCGTTCGGACCTAGCCAAATTGTTTGTTGTATCAGAATTTTGTATTAAGAGGAACATCAGTCCCATTCATTGTGCATATAAATGCACAGTCGGGACTAAGGCTTTATGTTTGTTATAACCAGAATTTTGTATTAACAGAGTTTGTACTAACGAGAGTCTACTGTATACACCAGCTTTGGCACCAAGCAGTTACCATGCTAAATGCAACCAAATGCAACAGTGAATTGTGTTGCATTGCGCTATGAGCAACTATGAGCAGTTAGGCCGGTTCATACTTCATGCGAATGTGATGCTAATTTGACGCCACGAAGCGTTCGCCGCGAAATTCACCAGAATTAAAATGTGTTCAACTTTTGCAAATTTGCAGTGCGAAAAACTTGGCCCGACGTCACAAATTCCCATTCGCTTTCGCGCCGAGTATGAAGCATCCTTTACACTGCTAAATGCAACAAGATCCTTTTTTTACCATTGTTGGTTTCCGTTGCATTTAGCAGGCCTTGGTTAGGGTTAAAGTATTGACATTGACTGAACAAATAATTTGGAGAAGTATCATTACCAGGGTTCGACCTTAACTTTTTTTTTCACTAGCCATTCGGGTTACTGAAACAGACTCTTAACTAGCCCGCGGGCATTTCCACTAGCTTGCACGTTTGTCTTTTATAGAGTGTCTCATAAACAACAATGTGCATACTACATGCAAAACGTGTTCCTGAGGCAATTTTGTCAGAGTTTTTAATAAAACAGATCTAATAATGTAACCCTAAACAGTTAATAAAATTCGACACAAATTGATACAGGTTTCCTTTCTGAATTGAAAGATTTATTTCTTCCTGTCCTTTCATCTTTGCCGTAGCCCAATAATTTTTGACTCTCCACCCAGGCTACTTAAGGAATAGTTTGACTAGCCCGCCGCTGTTTTGACTAATGCTTGGCTGTTTTTCACGTGGGCAACGGACAAGCATGAAGTCACAGTTATACAGAGTTACAACTCTGATCCCGGGTGCAAGATCAATGTAACGTATATCTTACCCATTAATTCCTGGTTAAAAGACTAAAAATCATCAAGATACAATGTACTTCTCTGCACAACTTCAGTGAGGAGGCATGTTAAAAAAAAATATAATAATATCAATAATTAAAACAAAAAATGTGGTTTTATATGTGTTCCTTGTTTTTTTTACTTTTGTCTACAGTCTTTCATCATTGTTTGAATGGATCCTCATGAAAATAAGAAAATTCACATTATTTACTTTTGGTAACACACAAAGAGCTACTGCGCGATATGAGAGAATTTCCATAACCATTATCTAGGATAACATGTTGTTTGGCATATCAAATAAAAAGTAATTTTGTTGTTGGTATGCATTGCGAAAAACGGTGCTTGTCAACCTTCCATGTTGAAAATCAGAACTATGTCTGCCTCTGAGTTCAAGTCTTTAAGTAAAGTAATTTGCACTTAATTGTTTTGCATACATAATTAATTGTTGGAAGTGGGATAATGACAATAAATAGAATATAATAACTCAATGACTTGTTCAGTTTATAGATCTGTATTTTTTTGCCTGAACAGTATTTACACAAGAGTAGCTGTAATGTAAGGGGGGGGGGTACCATCTGTAGATGGGGGTGCTGTTCAAAACGAGTATGCACACTAATGGACATTATATGGTGCTTTTCAGGCTGATGCATGCGTGAAATTACAGCAACATAAAAAAAAACCACCCGGAATGGCCACGTGCACAAAAAAGCCACTTGTTCATAAAAAAAGGGCGATTGTTAAAAAAAGGGCACTTTGAGTGGAAAAGGGCAGTCTACAAAATATTGGGGGGGGGGGTAAATACCCCCCTTATCCCCCTGCTGGCTACGCCTATGCCACCCCCGGATCCACCCCTTTTGAATTAATAGAAAACAATGAAATGGGATCCTGGAACCATTATGAAAGAATTAGTAGAAAATGTTCACCTAAATACATATCAATACTAGCCTCTTTTACATTAAAAAAGTTATATTTACATTTGCAAATAAAATGCAGCAATTTCCAAACATTTTTGGGGAATCTGGAGTCGGTGTGGATCGAGGGGCGAGTCCTGAAAATATCCATGGCCTCATCTCAGAATAAAATTCAGAATTTATGAACTGCAATGTTATGTATGAATTATTTTATTGGTAGGCCCCAGATCAGACACCCCCCCCCCCAATTGCTGGGTTTTGCCATGAACAGGAATTGCTTTTATGAGATTTCATGCAACCAGCAACCCCCACCCCCCCCCCCCCCCCCCCCCCGAAAAAAAATCCCGGCTATGCCCATGATCCTGGCTAAAATATGGAAACGTGGTTATTTCTTCCCTTTTTTATGTTTGCTAACGGTTTATCAACCAAATTATTTTAGATTAACAAGAGCTAGGGTTTAAGGCCTATTTAGATTTTTTTCTTCAAGTTGCGGTGTTTTTTTCAAGTGTCCACCTAGAAAAAAAATGGAATTTTTAAATTTATTCTTTTTTAGCAATAAACTTTTGAATTATACTTCAAACCAAAACATTAGCCCAGGCATGAGATTTTTTCAGATCTTTGTCTGAAATCAGACTTTTTGAATCTGAGAGAAAGACATTGTATACATGTATATAGAAAGATATGCATTTTTGAGAAATTTCGTAAATTTTCAGACTTTTTTTCAATGGACAATCTCGATCATCCCTGCATTATAAGCCATCTTTTGTGCTTTATGGGCTAAAAGGTAACCCGAAATACATTTTCATTTGCATACAAAGTACAAGCAATTATTCAGAGGATTGAAAACCTCCTAAATAGAAGAAATTAATTTTTGTAATTTTCGGTAGGAGAATGTTAAGGACACAGAGAACCTGGCACAAGTGGCAGATAACCAGCGGGCCCGCTCAGTTCAACCGTAACCTAGCAACACGGAAATGTGTACCCCCTCACAACTGGTACTCCGACACAAAAACAAGTTTTTTAAATAGGAAAATATATACATTCAGGCCAAGTTTTCGTGCACCAGCCCAGCGCAGCTGTACTTACGTTCATGTTGTGTTTACGTTTTTTAAGTGGGTCGTGTTGCAAGTTGTGTGCACGTCCTAGTTTTTTTCAAGTTGAAGTAGACATTTTGTTATTAATTAACAAATTCCAATACAACTATGAGTTTGTCTACATCATATAGGTTTGAGGCTAACACAGCCACAAACAGAAAGAGCTTGCAACGAGCGCTACAGCCTCAGAAAGAAAGAATAAAGGTAGGAATTAACACTCTCCCGTCCGTCCCGATTTGTTTTTACGATTGGGAATGTTTGTTACACGTGAAATACCCGTCCCGGTACCATTACTAGTTTTAGGGTTAGCATGGTTAGCACTTGGTTGTATTACTGTTGTTGGTTGCTATTTATATTATTATGGAGCTCATTTACGCCTTCATTCTGTTTGGGGACTAGTAAGCCTAGTACTGCGTACTATTTTCAAAGCTCAGTTCGCCGAATACAGGTCAGCTCGTACATTGTCGTACGCGAGCCAACTCGTATGCGACCAACTCGTACGCAGGACAACTCGTACACGGACAAACTCGTACGCGGGCCAACTCGTACGCGTGGTAACTCGTACGCGGACATACTCGTACGCGAGCCAACTCGTACGCGTGAGTATAGACTAGACTGAAACCGTTGGTTCGGGCGTGTAGGGAATTAGGGTCGGTCAGTTGTCCGGCACATTCTTTTTTTCTTAAGTTAAGGGGATAATTTTGTGTTACTGAGACTCTGAGTGGTCCCAATTAGTTCAGTTTTAAATCAGCTTTTTTTGCTCATAACAAAAAAGTTATGATTTGTTTTCCCGGTGTCGTGCCAAAAACCGTCCGGTGCCAAATAGTGTCCGCTAATTAGCATAATGCGATCTGATTGGTCATGCGTCTATGACGTCACATTGTTTACGGACGCTTGCCAAATAGTGTCCGCGCTTAGCGCGCATCCTATTGCGTGCCTTGTCGAGCTGTCAATACATCGTATAGAAAAGATCTCTTTTCACCTGAATTTGCTTTTTACAATCTGTTTTAACGTTTTCCTTGTTATCTGTGATAACTATTTGACTTGGTTTCCCCAATAGTTTAAACATTATATTTGTGCAAAATGTTTGTGTTTTTTTTTCGCGTCAGAGTTCACCTGTTTGGCGTGCAGTAAGTACGTAGGTCTAACGCCGTGTGAAGTGTGTGTAGTAGTACTATGCTGTGTGTAGCATTATAACCAACGTTATATTTTACGGTTTCTCCCACCTAATACTGTCCGATTTTTCCTGCAAAAAATTGTCCGATTTTTCCTGCCAAACTGTCCGATTCCTACTGCCAAATATTAATTGTCCGAGGATTCCCCCCTGCCAAATACTGTCCAATTTTTCCTGCCAAATACTGTCCGATTTTTCCTGCTAAACAGTGTCCGATTCCCCCTGCCAAATAGTGTCCGATTTTCCCTGCGAAAAAATGTCCGATTTTTCCTGCTAAATACTGTCCGATTCCCCCTGCCAAATATTGTCTGATTCCCCCGCCACTGAATATTGTCCGATTTTTCCTGCCAACAAATATTGTCCGATTCCCCGCCCTGCCAAATATTGTCCGATTCCCCCTTGCAAAATACTGTCCGATTTTTCCTGCAAAATACTGTCCGATTTTTCCAGCTTAATACTGTCCGGCAGGACGTACGTACGTGCGCCCTTGTTCACGCTCGATCGACGGCGCCCGGACACTATTTGGCAACGGACACTATTTGGCATGTATTACATGCCAAATAGTGTCTGGCGCCTACTGCGCATGCTCAGCGGACACTATTTGGCACCGGACGGTTTTTGGCACGACACCGGACCACTCGCACACTGTCGATGTCTGATCCTGGCTCACACCGTACGCGCGCTATACGACAAGATATTGCCACGTAGTGAGAATTTAAATCGTATAATGTCCGCTGCATTTGTAGACTTCCAACAATACATTGCTATAGTGGCCCCGCGCTATGTGTGTAAATCAAATCGTTGTACATGTACGTCTTGACAAATTCTCCACACTAGCTGCGTGGTTGGAAGCGCATGCCGCAGCATTGCACTACACATCGGTCGCAATTAAAATGGATCATGTTTTTTGTATCGTTGAAACTTTTGAACTTGACATCGTTGCATTTATGGAATGTAAACTGTTGAAAATACATATGGCTACAATCACAATCGTACTGTGTACTGTGATAAATCGATAACTTTGGCGTGTGTTTTGGGGTAAACTTTTGGCGATCGTAAACATCGTTCAATTTAAATTTGCTTATTTCGGTCCGCGTACGAGTTGCCTGGCGTACGAGTTGGTTCGCGTACGAGTTGGTCCGCGTACGAGTTGTCTTGCGTACGAGTTGGCTGGCGTACGAGTTGTCCCGCGTACGAGTTGACCAATCCGCGTACGAGTTGTCTCGCGTACGAGTTGGTTCGCGTACGAGTTGACCTGTTTCCAGTTCGCCTTCCCATTAAAATCTTGAACACAACTTTGGGCAGTCGATCCGCTGTCTGGGAACCAATATGCCCCCCCCCCCCCCCTTCCGACCCAAACACATTGGACGGTTGCGGGTTGGGAATCTAGACACTTGAAAGCCTGGATCATGGTATGGAGACATTACATCTACAGTCCAGACGCGAAGTTTATTATGAGCACATTCGTGTTGTACTTTAAGGTTTATATCCATAGAACTTTCATTCAAAATGTAAGAATGGGTTTTTGTTTAGGAGTCCTAAAAGTCACGCATACCTTACCAGAGTATTGATATTGGGAAAGATTTCCATATACGAAGTTCACTCAACACCCTGTGTACAAACCCTATGAGATTGGACTGAAAAATTCTAAGTGTTTTCTAAGAAAATGCTTGTATTTTCTCACTGCTCACATTGACTTTGATGACATGAAATTGCTATCTGGGGGCTTGTTAGTCAATACAGAGGAAAATTAGTGAACTTCTTATATGGAAATCTTTCCTTGATATTGTATTGATATTTGTAGATGTACCTCTAGTAGTACGCAGTGGTACATACATCCTAGCTTTCCCATCCTCATTCTGCTGAGAGTAAGACTATTGTGGATTGGATTTTCAGTCCCTTCTAGTTCTAATAAGTCGATTTTATTGCTTTTCTCAATAAGAATCATTCCACAGTTCTCCTTAATATTCTTTGGTCAAAGCGTATTTTTGTTTCATTTTCAGTATGATGAACTGATGGCAGCTCGTGAGTCAGTTGTTAAAAAGTAAGTAAAGGATTGCCAATTAATTATTAATTGTTTCCCGGTTATCCATCAGCTTGTAGCCTCCTGTCATTGGATCTGTTGTTTTGTTTAAATATTTTGCTGCGCTGGTTAAAGCAAGCAACCCTATCCAATGCTTGTAAATTTGACTAGATTTCTGTTAAATGTGAAGCATAACTGTCTTTCAATGTATGCAAGAATTAGAGTATCCAATTTCTGACCACTTTAACCCAAGATGGTGGTGTACACAGTGCCTGCCCTTATTGTGACGTCCATAAAAACAAACATAAAAATAGGTTCTTGTTGACAATTAACGCAATTGAGCAGCCATTTAAAATCTCTCATGTTAAACGTCCCCTTCCCCTCGTATAAATAGCTTTAAAGGTTTTTTTGTATACTAAAATCTCTCATATGAAACTAACTGCAGGTCTGTGGAACGTTTTGTTCCAAGTCAAAAAAGAAAGAAAAGCCAGTCCAAAACTAGGCCTTAATTGCCCCCCAATTCTGAGGTGTCTGTTTTCAAGCCAGATCTGCAGTTGAGCCTTTTCACAATTTGTTACCAAATTTGACATTCCGTTTCACCGAATAATTGTTTTTATTGCAGTGAGTTGGAACTTAACCAGAAGGCTCTCTGGTCCGAGAACCTTGAAGAGGCCAGTGAATGCCGCAAAGCCAAGGACTTATCCGCCCAACTCAAAACTGAAACCAAATTTGCCAACAAAGCCCTGGTAGAGGTAAGCAAAAAAAAATTTATTTTAAAACCATTCAATTTTTGATTTTAAATTTTCAAAATGTCCATACATGTATATATATGTTATTGACAAAAATGTACAGTATTCTGGAAGGACTTTAGGTTTTGATAAACGATTGCCTGTCCACCCCAGCTGCCCCACCCAGTTTTTCCAGTTTTGTATCTCGAACAAATCTGTCTTGTTTTAATTGTCATAAAAACTGTAACTGATGTACGGTTGCTGCCGTTCGCTTGTACAAGCAATGAACATGAGCAAAGACATATTTAGAGCACAGTTCAATGTAGGGTGGATTACACACCAGCTGAGACTATGTAGCGCTGATACCGGAAGCATAATTATTTTTGAAAACTGTGACACCATTTTGCTGACACAGAAGTGACAATTTTTTGCCTACAAAAACAACCACTGTGGTGGGTGGGTGGCTGGGGGGGGGGGGGGGGGGGCGGCCTATAGGGGGGCCTATGAGGCCTATATCTTTTGGCACAACCAAAGGCTTATACAAACAATCGAGACGTGCTGAATTGAAGCCACCAATGACCACAAGTTTTGGCATACAATTCCATTCTTTTAATGTAAAAGTCAAAATGTCATGAAATATCCTATTATTTACTTGCTTTTTAAGTAATTAACAGAAAACAGTTGCCATCATTTCCTATGGTAAGGACCAAACCATCACCCTTGTAACAGAATCCTGTGCTCTGTATCGTCCATGGATGCATTTTCACATTTCTCAAAAAGTGTTTCTATAATGAGCTGATTTTTCAACAGGTTTATTTTTTAATAAGCGGCTTCAGATTTATTGTACGTTGCTCTTTGATTTTTTTTGTCCATTTACTCCATTACCCCTAAATCCCAATCTTAGCGCATAGTTACATGAAGCTTTCCTTTACCAATGAAACTTGTGTTTCTCCTCAGGTTAGAAGGGCAGCACTGAGGCAGAGGCTAGAGCGAGAGTACGAAGGTTATGAGCAGGAGCTTCACGCGCAGGGCAAAGCGTTCTACTTCAAGCGGGAGTGACTGTTCCACCGAGTCCACAAACTGTAGCATGTTAGACCTGACAAATAACATTCCAAGTACATGTATTCACAGCCAAAAATCAAACAAAAATTGAGAAACATTTTCCTACATAGTTGGAAAGGGAGGAGTGAAACATGAATAATATACATGTATATCCATATTTATTTTTCAGGGGTGTGAAATCTCAGCTTTAAAGCTGATTTCAGCTTTTTTTTGTTTTTTGATTTCAGCTTTTTTCCCTCACTTGCTGTGTACAAAAGTTTAGGAGATTTTCAAAGTTCAGCTTTTTTACACCTTTTCCTGTTGTTTTCAGCTTTTTTATCAGTGGTCACTCACACCCCTGATTTTTATTGTAACCTTTTTTTCGGGGGGGGGGGGGGGTGTTTAATTTAGACATATCCTGAAGACAAAGAAGCAAAGACTGTACACTAATTCGATCAAGAACCTCAAAAAATGGGCATACATGTACTTACCCATTCATCAAAGCCAAAGGTTCATGTGTGTATGAAATGGTCCAAGACTGTGGACTGATCAAGTTGTAATGCTTATTCATAGTGTATTTATTTGTGCTTCACTAAGGATATCTTCCTCTTAGCCTGGGTAACTTCCTTTGATGTTTAATAGTATTTCCAAGAGCGGTTTAACTTAAAATGTTCTTTTCGAGTGCCCCTAATTTACCTGTTTATGTTTTATGTTATATTGAAAAATCTCCCTCTTGAATTTGAATGTCAGTTATTTCCTGCCATATTACGTGACATTTTTAACCGGACCCAAAGAAAAACACAAGAAGTTCGAAACCTTCAGCTTTTTAAGTGATGCCTTGTTCCTTGCGCTATGTGTTCCGTCCATTAGACAATTTCAGACAAGATTTTGTTTCCTGTTTACTCAACTCTGTGATGTATTACATCGATTAATAATATGCCCAAAGATAAACTTAAATGAAACCTATTCTGTCAGCCAACATCATTAGTCCACAAAAAACAGGCAAACATTCCTGTCTTGTCCCAATAAAAATGTGTTACAGTGTATAATATGTAAAAATGCAATTTTAAAGTTCGGTTATAGTTTGAATGAAATGAACAATCGACGAATTTTGTATTTCTAGGTGGCCTTTTGTTTGAATGAGATAAGATTAATATTGTACATACCTCAAATTTAAATTGTATTATAATTGATCACCTAAAAATGAGTAAAATACACAGAATTTCCCAGCGATCAAATAAACTACTGTAGAAAAGAGTACACTTATTGTTGAATGGAGTGTCTTTATTGTGTATTATATTCATTAATCTTTGTACACTTGTTAAAATACTTATCTGGGCATTGTTTCGCAGAACCGGCGATAAATTCGAATCGGCGTCAAACTCGTAGCATACCAATGCACCTTATGTATACATGTACATAAGGTACATACATACATGTACATGTAGCGCAAAGTTGGTAAGGCCAAAAAAAAAAAAAAAATCGGTCTCTGGTCAACGCGCGCATCGATTTTAATCATGCGCGTCAACCTTTTTTTCTTCAAATTAACACGGAAGCTACAACAGCGCCCTCTATTGCCGCACCTCAAATTTTTGTACCAAGGAGCACCAAGGAATGGGGAAATTGCACCAAGGCAAATGATAAAGGGCACCAAGGCATATTATGGAGGACACCAATGTATAATGAGGACACAAAAAAGCAAAATAATACCCACCTTGTCTGTACAATTCAAGCTTGAAAAAATAAAAAGAAGCCACCCCCCCAAAAAAAAACCCCGCGTCGCCGCATCAATTCCGGAACTTCGATCTGACCAGAGACCGACTATTTTTTTTTTTTGGCCTAACAATGAATTAAAAGGCTGAAATAAAAAAAAAGTCTTATGAATAAACCGCCAAAATAGTGGGCTAGTTGATATGAGACAGTCCCGTCACTTGCAACGCAGAATTAATGACGTCATACGCATATCTCGTAGTCTCACTGGTTCGACGGTGCTGGGAGGCGCAGACAGTTAATCCAAATACTGTTACGTAATAGAGTACAATAGGCATAAGATAATCCCGCAGCATCGGAGATGTACTGTGAGTGGCGAGACCATGCATTACGAACAATGAAAACCATCCACAACACAACCTGCATTAAGAAAAAATGACCACAGACATTCAAGCGAGCGGATTAAGACAATATTTGCCTAGCTGGCCTGCCCGTCCATTCCACGAACAACGACCTCTTCAAGCAGCTAGCATTCCAAATCTTGTAAGTCAAATAGGGGTACAGTTTTTTTTTTTTTATGAATGGCGTCCGCCAGCGTTGCCATAGGCGAAGGGACGCCATTCACGATCTCTCCACACAACATGAGTTTGCGCCATCACTGAGTGTTCACACAATGTGAGTTCATTGTCGTCAGCTTCATTGAAGTATCTCATCGTGACAAAGACAGCGCAGCAAGTTATGATCGCGTTCACCAGTACGTAAATTTAAAGTCTTCTCATTTTGTTGGCTGATGATGCACAATTGTGATGACCTTTATTTCTGGTTTTACTCCTAACAAAACTTATTAATACATATGTAGCCTTTTCTATCCAAATTTTAAGCATGAGTGTGTACATCATTATAATTATCTCCTCACCGGAATTATTTCAAAATCAATGTCCCCGCACCCTACCTAATTAGGGCCCATATACCGCAAATAACAAGGGGGTCAGACGCCACATTGTTGAGTGCATAAGTCTACGGGGAGTGGTAACGCGTGCACGCGTGTCTGCTCGTAAAGTTGTCACTTTATATAATTAATTATTCCTCTCTACTAAATAAAATTAACGGTTTCTCTCACATTTTTTAGCACCATTTGTGCAAGAACGGAGACTATTTTGGCCAGAACATATATGTTTTATTGAACTGAAGGATCCCCGAAAAACATGGTATGATTGCGAACCATCTGAAATCAAAATGTTTGTACTCGCGCAAGGACATGGTTGATGTGAGAGACGATCGACGTTAATTGTTGAATGTGGAATTTTTAATGACGCTGATGTCTTCGAAATAATTAATGACATCTGTGTCAATTGACTTTGTTCCCCTTTTGTGTTAATTGTTTATTTTACTTATCTGCTCTGTATCTTGTGCCATCATGTGAATGTGTGCGAATAAAGATATTTTATGCTACTTACATGTATACAATCAAGAAAACAAACTATATTTTGTATGTCATGTTTGTTATTGCTTTCCAGATCGAATAGAGGCCGAAGCAAGATTTCTTCTGACAGCATCTTTGATTATACCTCTGACGGGCCACAACATTAATGGGACGGCGAAAACACTTTCAACATTTATTATTCCTGACCTGGATTGTTGCTACTGAAGTTAACTCAGTTATCAGTGTCGTACCATGGAAGCGCTGATCATTGTCATGACGCCTGGGTCAGTTGAGGTTTATTTTGACTCGGCAAGCTCCTATATATCCAGTCACTAGGCTAATAATTGCGTAGCCGATGCGGTAATCAACGTACAGAGAGGCAATAAAATCAAGACCAAAATGATGCGAAGGTTACGTTACTACGTGATGACCCATCCATGGACTGGCTGGATTGCTTTCCTTGCCGTCATCATTCTGTGGTTTCTCTCCTCTACGGTCTTACAACCGTCTCTCATCTCCGCCAGAAAGCAACAAGAACACCGGGCAAAGCGACGAGAGGCAGCCCGTGCCGAGTGGCGCACTTACACGACCATGCTGGATATCAAACACAACGCCAGCGCGTACTCGCGCTCTCGCCCTACCGACGAAACCTGCTTCTTCACCCACAAGCTCGAGAGGCCCGACATGCCAACCATCCACTCGGCCTTCTTCACTCCGGAGTCCAACAGCGTTGTTTTCGTCGGAGTTCGGTTCTTCAGGGATAAATGGAACGAACGGTTTGTGTGCGAGTTCCAGAACGGTGAAACGACGGCAAACGACCCCATGGTGGATGACTACCGGAGCTTCGGATATTTACCGCAGTACGTGTTCGTTATGACGTGTCCGCTACCAGAAGCCTATCTCAGAAAGAACAACTTTACAATGAGTTTACACAAAGAGACATGGCGTCGCCAGTGGTACAGGTACACCTACACGAACTTCACAGTATGCCGTGGAGTTGGTTCCAAACCCGTCGCTAAGAAGCGGTTCTTGAGCGTCTGTACGATGGTCAGAGACATGGACAATTTTATGTCCGATTGGTTGGACTATCACAAGTTTGTGGGCGTGGAACACGCCTACATTTACGATAATGCTCCTGAGGATTTGAGCCTCCTACGGGAGACTGTCAAGGAGCACATTGAATCAGGCTTCGTTACCGTCATTCCTTGGTCTCACAGATCCTCTCAAGAAAAGTCCTACCTCGAAGTCCAGATAGCTCACGAGAACGACTGCCTCTGGCGACATCGATACAACTCTCACTGGATGATCAAAATCGACGTAGACGAGTACATCCAACCCATGAATCCATCCATGTCAAAGATACCCGAGTATCTCCGCGATCCTCATTTGGACCACGTCGGCGCCGTTCGGCTACAGAACTGGTTCTTCGGGCGCCCGAACCTGACCGAGTTTGCGCCGGGGTCGATAATCGAACGCAATCGGTGGCGATCGGAGGACCCGACTTTATCCAACACGGGGAGGGATAAGAACATCTTGCGTCCGATCAATGTTCATTATTTCAAGATCCACGCCATCAAGCTCGGCGGTGAGGCGAGGTCCGTCGACCCTTGGACGGAGCTCCGCTTGGTGCATTATCGCGGGGACAATCCGAGGATACGACACTTTGACTTGCCGGAGTTTTCCGTTTTAGACGAGAGCGTGGTCAACATTTGGCAGAGAGTAAAAAAATCCAAGCTTCGAGACCTGGTAGATCCTGATTCGGGTCATGACGAAAAAGGCAGTCAAATTGTAAAACTGTTGGAGAAAAATTGATCTACATGTAAAATACATACCTTTGACAGAAGAAATGACACTGAAATGACAGATTATTGTTCATAATAATAGTATGATATCTGAATAGGCTGTGATATAGCAATCCAAGTTTACTTTTAAGATCTGTTTGAATTAATGATACTTTTATATGGTTTTGCTTTTGGCCTCGATAATTATTGCTTAATTAGTACAAACCAGTCGCCAACATTTTCGGCAGGTCGGTGGGAAAAGTTGGTGAAAAAAATGCAATGAACTTTAGTGTAAATTAGACTAAAGGGTTTGCATGGCGGACACGATCAATGAATGGGAGGTTTGGGGTAACACCATGTGAATGATATGAATGAGTTGCATGGTTCTGAGCAGTTGCTTTAACTGGACGTTTCGAACAGTATGCTCTGTTCATCTGATGACGTCAGTCTCCAGACCTGATGACGAACAGAGCTGTTCGAAACGTCGAGTTAAACCAACTGTTTCTCAGAACCACATAACTCACAAAGAGATACCATTACATGCATGGCGTTTACTACTGCAAACACCCAATTCACTGAACTTACGTGATGTAATATCCCTCTACAACTTCTTACCTTATTATAAGGAGATTGTCCAAACGCATTTGGGCTGGTGTAGTGTGTATTTCGGACTATGAAATACTGATTCGCTGCCCGCTGGTAGTATTGCGCATGCCTATACGTGAGAAATGTGAACGTTCAACCAACGAACGTTAAAAGGCACCGGATTTCATGGGAGTCCAAATTTCATGTGACACTGGAAAAGTGTCTAAGACCAGCCATCCATGTCTTTATCATCCGTTTAAGACCGGCTATCATGTGACGGGCTCCCGACCAATAGGAATGGGTAATCTGAAATAAGCATCGATGAATACTTAATTAAGAAAGTCCAAGGAAACAATCTGGTCCCCAGTCTCCATTTCTGTGCATTCCCTCCATATAAATGCCACCAGACTACTGTCGTCCATCTAAACAGTTGAACACATGTACCAGGCTAGTCTTGGGCTTCAAATTGAAATCACTTTGCATCACTCGTTTGTGCAAACAATTTAAGAAAAGTCTCCTTAATTAAAAGAATTGAGACCTCAAACTTGGCTGGTGAAATACTGAGGACCTCGTGTCTGCCTCATAAATATTTTGGAGAATTTTGTCCGCTAAAGAGTGGATAAAAATGGCCAGATTTTGTTTTGCATGTTTTTCTAAACTCTGGACTTGGCACAGTCACATTATGCATGACACTGCACGTTTTAATTTTATTTTATGCTGCTCAATGTGCTGCTGTAAAGAGAGAATGTTTTGGGATATTTCTTGAAGAAATTTGCTTTTTTTTCAAATAAAGGGATTTTTAAAGTTAATCTTATGGGTTGAAATTGTCATTTTTCTCAACGAAGATAAAGTTGCATAAAAGTTTGAGGTTTTGCATGTAATGTTCATCTTAGAAAAAAATGTATTTTGGAGTGAGCTCGAACATGGAGCGGACTAAAATTGTTGTCAAAGTTGGAGTATAGTCAATTTTAGAATTGCGGAATAAAGTTTCACAGTAAATTGTGCTGAACCCTCTTACAAAGGGCTTTTTTTTTCTGTGGGGGACTACATGAGGTCCAGTGGCGTAGCCAGGAATGTTTCGGGGGGGGGGGGGCGCACTGGGGGGGGGGGCTGGAACATTTCATGGGGGGCGTCATGTAGATCAATGATAATTTTTTTAGAAACTCAAAATCTCAGTGGGGGGGGGGGGGCGACTGGGGGCGACAAGGTTTCATGGGGGGGTGCTTTCACCCCCCCCCCTTTTTAAGGGGGAAGGAGCGAACTTTTTATGGGGTCCATCCCCCCCCCCCGCCCCACCCCGTCTCGTAGCTACGCCGCTGCATGTTAAGATTTTGCAAAATGTACTTTTCTTCACACGAACAAAGTACATACGAAATTTAAAAGAAATAATGCATTAAAAGTGTCCTCGTGTTTCAAAATATATTTAAACTGTCCGGCACACCATTTTTTTTTGGGGGGGGGCAAAAAGTGGGTTAAGATATTTTTGGATTTTTTAGATGCACTGTGGTGCGATCTGAGGCAATTTCTGACCAATGTTTTTTAAGGAAAAGATGGTGGTGTACTCATTGCCTGCCTTTATTGCAACGTCACTTAAAAAAAAAAAAAAAGGAAACAGATTTGGTTCGGTTTTTTTTTTTTTGGGGGGGGGGGGCATGGCCCCCTTTACCCCCCCCCCCCCCCTCCGCCTTTGCATGATGGTGTATGTGTATCTGTGTGCCCTCTGTTTCAAAACACAGCAGACACAACAAAACACCATTTTTGTTCTTACAAATAATAAGTTATGTGAAACATCTCTTATTTAGGTTTCCCTGCCAATTTCAATCACTCCCTAAAAATAATGAAAATGTTGACCATCCCCGGCCCCACCGGATTCAATTTTGTTTTTAATAGTGATTGTTGATGTGAGCATGGAGCTTTGTTCCTAGCTCCATGATGTGAGGCATCAGTTGAATAACAGATGCCTTATACCAACAATCGCTCTTCAAAACCCTATTTCTATTTTGATATGAATTAGGGAAATATCTCCTTTTGCCGAATGCATGTGTACTGTTAATATGAGGTTTTGGCCAAACACCAATAATCTTTACTATTCGTTATTTTGATTTAAAAAAATACATACCTTCATATGGCATTAGGGCTTTTAGGGGGCATTGGCGAGGGTTAACTTACTGGGATGGTTGGGGGTGTCGCCTGGGAGAAATCCTAATAAACCCGTGAAACAATTCATAAATTAGCATTGACGCTAAATGATGAATCTGGACACGTACCCGGGTTAGGACGATATATCCCGCATACGCGTTTAGAAAAATGTACACAAAATGTAATTAAAATGTAGATAATTTGTATATTTGGCTTAAAATGAACATTGTATCATTTGATAAATTTCACACCTCGTTTGACACGAGTGGACAAATTCATGCGGAAAAAAATAAATAGATGTTATAATTATTTTAGATAATGGCGCAGGCTAATTGCATATCATTGTATAAACTTGGTTTTAATAGGAACATGGGTTTAGACGCCTCGTTTGATACGATTGGACAAGTCATGCGAGAAAGAGACATTCGAGCTCCCCCACCCCACCCCACCACTGCTGCTGCAACATGTTTTGCACTGAATGGTTTTTCTAAAAAAAAAACCTGCGGCTGGTCTGCCTGTTGAGAATAAATTGCGCCCTCGTTTGTTCAATGGTTTATAATTATATGAACGGGAACAAAAACTGAGCTAAAGAGTACGGGTAGCGAGTCTAGTTAAGTTGTGATGAATCAAGATGGCTGACAAGAAGGGAAAACCGAGCGCAAATGGCAGCGCAAAACCGTCTGCAAAAGGGCCGTCTAACGACCAGATTGTCGCTAAATTTAACCAGCTAAGGCAGGAGCAGAGAGCGCTGATGAGCAAGATTGCTGAACTCGAAGGGGATCAGAACGAACACCGGTAAGTACACCGTGTTGAAGGTCGGGAATTGTAAAAAATGATTGACAATTTCTTCACCTTGCATGTTGAAGTGAACGTTCACGTGCACGTGTTTTTCGGCGATCGTGAAGTGTAGGGCCCCTGTTTTGTTTTGATCAAATTAGAGTCAAAAATGTTTTTTATTGCTCAAAAATCACCTTTACAATCAAAAGCAGACTTTTCTCAATTCTATTGACACCCGTTTTGCAATTTTGAACAGATTCTTGGGGTAGAAATCACGATTTTCCTGCGCGGTTTGTGCCTTGCGATTCAGCGCGCCGTGCGTGCTCATGGTACATCGCGCGGTGATCGCCATCTTTGTTTTCGGGTCGCGTGTTGTCGACAGCGCTTTGCAGTTTGTTTGTGCTCAAATCTAGCTCCGGGCATCATCTTGACTGCATATCGGTCATGTCGGTAGCCTTGGTCAATGCTCTCGTCGTTATTCGTCCCGTACGCGGTCAATCGTCGGCATATATCCTCACGCGCTTTTATTTTGCATGTAAAAATACAGCGCGAACAGCGACCTCACGCGGCCACTATTTTTATGCAAATCAGTTGGAGACGATGTCGAGCCTTGGTTCAATCGTCGGCCAAAGCTTATGTTTTTCTTTACTTTGCGCTAGATTTCCAGCGCACGACCTCGTATGCGAATACAGATAATGTAGGTGGGGCTATGTGGAGTGTCCAATCACACCTTGGAAAATCCGGACGTCATCAAATTATTTGCAGCTATTCTGCCTTTTGCGGACGTGACAGGAACCACAGTTTTTGTGCATTGGTGCCGTGTGCAGAGACACACAATGTGTTCGTGTATGGATTATGTACGGTGCCACGTTTCACTATGCAAGTTTCCACGCAACGATCGACCAATAAGAAAACGACATTTAAGGTCAGCTAAGGCTATTAACATAATGAGCACCACCCCCAAAACCTCACATGGACGATTGAACCAAGGCTCGACATCGTCTCCAACTGATTTGCATAAAAATAGTGGCCGCGTGAGGTCGCTGTTCGCGCTGTATTTTTACATGCATGTGCATAGCGCGTGAGGATATATGCCGACGTTTGACCGCGTACGGGACGAACGACGAGAGCATTGACCAAGGCTAGGCTATCGGCTATACCTCCTTTTTTCACTTAAATTGTGGGCCGAATCTTCATCGTGGATCATTTTTTTCTTCTTCAAGGACCTGTGTCGTGTGGTTTAATATGCCAGGCAAGGTTTGGGTGAGTCCCAGTTGAAATTAGTGTGTTATGGGGACAAAATTGCACATTTTCAATTTTTTTAAATTTTCAATTTTCTGAGCTAATATAACTTGGGACGCGTTCAATTGTCCAATACATATGCAAGTATTGGGAAAGTACAAAAACTTGGGGACTCTTAAGTCTCTGTTTGAACATAGGGGTGTTGGAACATAGAGGTGTGGCCCTTCAACGCACACCAGGAGGGTACAACAGGGATGAAGAAGTTATTTTTTTTTCAAACATTGTTTTTGGACAGACTTGTCATTGAAACACTGAAAGAGGCCGACGCTGACAGAAAATGCTTCCGTCTGGTGGGTGGAGTCTTGGTGGAGCGGACAGTGGGGGAGGTAGCGCCGGCACTGCAACATAACAAGGATCAGGTCAGTTTGTGGCATTTTGAAGAAAACAATAATAGAAGTTCGCTTCCAAAGATGCGTCTAAAGAAACATCTTTCGGAAATTTCCCTTAATAGTTCATTTTTAATTTGGTGAAGCCGTGAATGGGTGTGCGCAAGCATTGACATGACGCACACACGATAGCAGTTGCTATAATTCGTCGGTTCAGTGCGTGACATCGCGCAGCTGCAATCAGCCGAGTCCTGGGCGTTGATTTCGGGTGAAATTCAGAGCATGACTAGGCAACGTTTGAATTGAAATTGAGATCCTAGTGTAATGTTTTCTCAGAACTTACAGCATTCACTGAGCTAAAACTTCATCGGGTTAGTTGTGAAGCGCCCTTCTTTATATTTTGAGCACTTTTGTTGCTTCAAACAAAACAAGTACCAATTGGTTCAAGCCACGGCAGTTCCACAAACCGCGAATTTTGCAATGCAATGTAGCTTGATCTAATATGCAAATTAGACTCATGTGCATCAGCTCACAAAGCTGTAGATATTCCATAGAAACTCACTGGCAAAGCTGTGATACACGAGTGGCATGGAACAGAATAATACACCCTGAGTAAACTGTCCACCAACCAACCCACCCACCCACCAACATCGGCAGCTCAAGCCCGCGGCGTGTTTCACACTGCTGTGGGAAAATGACAAATGATATACTCTTCTAAAAGATGGAATTTTTGAGTATACAGTGTTTAAACGTCGCTGAAGGGCAAAACCTAATTTGATTGATATCACCCCGATGCAAAATTCCATCTTAGTGCATGTGGTACCCGCTGGTATGTACATCAGATTCGAACCAGCCAACCGATCCAGTTAGCTCGGTGGTCGAGTGGTAAGACATCTGCACTAGAAAGCATGAGGTCATGGGTTCGAGTCCCACCCAAGTGATTTTTTCCATCTTTCACTCGGGAGGTAACACACTGAGTATACAGTGTTTAAACGTCGCTGAAGGGCAAAACCTAATTTGATTGATATACTCTTCCTTTAAAAAATTGTTCAACATCCGAGGTGCAAGTAGACTGGAGATGTGACCTAATGCAATATGTATGAGATCATGTTCTATTCTTTTTTTCTCAATCTTTTTTATATTAACAGCTTGCGAAACTGTGTGAAGCCTTGACAAAGCAAGTGGAAGCAAAGGGCAAAGAGATCAACGAGTACAGAGAGAAGCACAACATTAGAGTCAAGGGAGAGCAGGCCCGAGCCAAGCACAAGAGGCCAAAGACAAAGCAAATACACAGGGAGTGCTGGTCACATCAGGAACATAATCCAAATATCCATGTTCCGGGGGATGATGAACTGGTTTGCAACTGGCCCCTCACCATGCATGGTCGGAGGAGACTGATGGCCAAATTGCACTTTGTTTTAAGATGAACTAATTGTTATCCATGTCCCAGGCAATATTTGTTTAAAGCAACTGGCCCCATACTGAGCACAGATGTAACACCACCAGGTATAATAGGACACATGCACACAGTATTTATAGTACATGTATCCTATAATCGTGATGGCTTATTTATCCATGTTCCGGGAAAACAACACCAGTACTGTTGTTTCAAGAAATGACTAACAAAGTAAGACTGCAATGAATGACCTAAAATGAAAGTGACTCTGATGGAACCGCAATTGATGCCGATACTGGCAAATGATACCTGCGTCTTCATCTTGAAGTCTTGGACCCAGAATGTAGGCCCTGGATCCTATTGTGTTCGTGGCCGTTTCGGGCAATGATCGCACAGGAGAAAGAACAGTTGTTTGATTTGTCGAATTTTGCGAATGAAAAAGCTTAACCTGAGTTAGCAGTTCTTAGATCCAATGAAGTTGGCCCATTGGCCAAACGACCGAGAACGGCTAGTCTTGGCCCAAAACTGGATTCGGATTTTATTCCCCTTATACAGCCGGTCCGTGACAAGTGAGGTTGCTATCAATGGGAAAAAAACTTGAATCAAATCCAGTCTTGACAATATCGGCAGCGCTTCCCGGGAAATTCCGAGCATACAATAGGCGTACTGTACAACTGTATTTTAGCTACAGCTAATGCATGCGTGTGAGGTGTGCTCGGAATTTCCCGGGAAGCGCTGCCAATATTGCCAGGACTGGATTTGATTCATCTTGTTGATAGAGACAGCAGCAAGCACCTCTTTACCGTGGGGGCTGCAAAAGAGGTGAATAAAAGCTTGAAACTAGTCTTCGACCAAGACTATAGAATGGCGGGACAATGGACTCCATGCATGAACATAGAGGGCGCTTTGTGACAACATATGAAAGACGCAGCGGGAGGGGCACACTGCGTGCATGTAATTGTTCGTGCACCTGTGGCGCGATTAATTTCATTCTGAATGGGCACAAATCTCATAGCGTCTTCGCGTGAGCGTCGGGCATCGGCAGCTCTCTCTCCCAGTGGTCTCCCCCAACTTTCCCTCGGTAACCGTTGAGGGGGGGTACAGTACTTGTGCACAGAGTCCAGAAAGCTGAAGCACCTTGTATCAATTATCCAGAAGAATTTCATTCGACCCGATCTGTCGGTGACCTGCTGTCACTTTCATGCATTATGGGCGCCCTTTCACCTAGCAACGACGTCCCATGGGCAGGACACATACATTTCGCTGGTTGACTCGGCGCACCGTTCCTTGTGTGTGACATACTTACACCAGGGGATTTGTACTATGTACACGCAGTGGCCGTGCTTCGCGGCAAAATATTGCAGTCAGACAAGATGGCGTCGTTCAGTCACCCCTAACTGTACTTTCTTTGCCGGTGAGGGGGTACTTGTGAACGGAGCAGATGCAAGGCCACCTAATGGCCTTTTCACACTAGAGCCTTTCAACCTGGGTTGAACTCAACCCTGGGCGAGCCCTGTGCCGCCCCGGGTTGATTTTTCAACCCCGGGTTTACTGCTGTTTGTTTCACACTTGTTTTGTGGAAACGAAACTTATTTAGCTCGGTTGCTGTTTTAAACCCTGGCAAGTGTTTCAACCTGAGTTGAAAAATCTCAACTCTGGTCTGGAGCAGGGTTGAGTTTAACCCGGGGCGAAATCAATTTCAAGGTTGACGCGGGGTTGGCGCGGGATTTACAGTTTTCAAGTGTGAATCACCACATGTTTTCAACCTGTGTCAACCCGAGATTTGTCCAGTATGAAAAGGCCTTATGTGTCACCCCTGATGGTAGGTTTTAGTTGTAATGATGCCGGACCACTCTTGCTCTATTAACTACGATCCTCATTGAGTTTCTTCTGCAAATACCCCCTTTTAGTCAAATGGCTCATGGTTGTTATTGTCATTCTGCAAATGTTACATGGCGCTTGTTGTGTGAAAACTTTGTACAATTTCTTAATTATTAAGGATACTTGTTTAACTTAAACTTGCTAGTGGGAATATTTAACAAATGTATATTGTTGAATATTCATTCTTGTGGCGTGTGAATTGTTTTGCAGTTTTCTGTTTGAATGAAAATAAAGTAGATAGCTAAGTACTTAAAAAGTGCAGGCCTTTTTTTTATACAGTGCGTCTCAAACCTTCCATATTTCTTCATTCATTCCCACGGCCTTTTATTTTCATCCTTGTTTCAAATAGAAGTAGGCCGGTTTTAAATAGTATACTAGTAAAGACTGTTTGTGAGTTCAATGGTGAGAATATTTTCATGAGTTGAAAGATTGAATGTTCCATTGAACGAGGCGAAGCCGAGTTGAATGGAACATTCCATCTTTCAACGAAAACATTCATTATTTGTTTTATACAGGGTGGATCAAAAAAACGAAACCGAGATATTATTGCTAATTGGAACGGAAGTGGGGCACATGTGAATCAAGGGAGATATTCTCTGTTCTCCTCTTTAAAATGACACCCTGATCGTGTCATTACATTCACGGTTGACTGAGCAGTGGCCAATTTTATGAAAGGGTCTATTTATAGACTTGCGCCACTTTTCATGGTGAAACCTCTTTTTCCCCCACCTGCCTTGATTTGCAACCATAGCCTTTCACTCTGTGACAAATGACAACACAAAAAAACAACTGAAAAGTGGTGCAATTCTCTAAATAGACCCTTTCATAAAATTGGACTAGACGATTTAGCTTGAAAATCACTCTAATTTCAGATTGAAATACTTGGGGGAAAAACAATCTAGTATGAACTCGAGGGAAAATCGATCAAAAGTTTGTCCCCTATACAGGGTGTCCCCCAAGAAAGGTTTGCAAGCATATATCCTTGAATTTCTCAAAAACTACTTAACTTCATCTTGATGGAGCATATTATTATTATACTCTACTATAGGTTTTCCCGGCCAATTTTCTTTTTTTCTGATCATTTTCATTATGGCCATTCAATTTCGCGTGAGTTTTGCACATGTGATCAAATTTGGGTTTCTTTTTCATTTTGGGGGCATCCAATTTCATTTTTAGGCAGCCAAAATTTTGCACTGAATGTTCGTTTTCGTTTTGGGACATTCTATTTCGTTTCGGTGCATTCCAAACTTAATTTGTAGCATTCTTAATTTAGTCTTTGCAACCTTTTCCCTCCAAGATCGTTTGTAATTTGACACCCAATGATGCACCACTAGGGACGAAGGTCAATGTATGTTGAAAGTTACAAGTTCATACCATATACCGTTGAGAAAACCCGCGGAAACTTATTGTCCGGAAAAAAAGAAAGAAAGAAAGAACTAGAGGTTCGCGTTTGTTGAGTTACAAACGCAGAGTGGTCGGGCTGGCATATTTTCTTGTGTTTACAGTGACTTAATCATAATTGAACTGCACACTACCCCTCCCTTTACCCTGCACCCATTACCCTGTGTTTTTCACAAAGAAAATCACACAACCTGCAGTTGAACTTGTTGCTTTACCTCGACAAGACTTGAAGGCCTATCAGGAAGCGAACATCTGGTGCTGCATGGATGGCTACTCAAGCATACAACCCAGTTGGGATCCTCTAACGTCGTTGGAGTTTATGCAACAGAATTATGCTAATCTGAAAATAAAATGGCTTTTTTTTGTCTTTTGCAAGGGCATAATAAAATTATGACCGACTATTTTTTTTGGGCCTAAGGTTACGACATTTGTAGAATTGACAGAGCGTCTCACGTCGTTAAAGTTTATAATTATGCTAATTTTAAGATAAAATGGCCTTTATGTTTTTTTTTTTGGTGGTCTATTGCATGGGTATAATAAAATTCTGCACTAAGGTTACGACATTAAGATAAAATGGCTTTTTTTTGTGTGTGTTTTTTTTTTTTTGGTCTTTTGCATGGGTATAATCAAATTCTGCACTGAATTTATGACAACGGTAGACTTGACGGAGTCTCTAACGTCGTTGGAGTTTATGCAACATATGCTAATTTTATCATAAAATGGCTTTTATGTTATTTTTTTCTTTTGCATGGACATAATAAAATTCTGCACTGAGTTTACGACAGAAAAGTTTGTGGCTACACGCTATAGAAATATATATATTCAGCACTGAGATATGAGAGGAAAACTGGCGATTTCAATCGGTTATGGCGAAAAATATCAGAAAATGGACGAAAATAGAATTAAATCATGGTCAGAATCGGACGTGAGACGCTCTGTCAATTCTACCAATGTCGTAACCTTTAATAGTGCAGAATTTTATTATGCCCATGCAAAAGACAAAAAACAACAACAAAAAAGCCATTTTATTTTAAGATTTAAAAGTCAAAGTCGTTTGACCTTTCCTTCTGGGGCTACCGGAAGGTCAAACTTTAAAGTTAGGTGAATTCAAAATTAAGACGTGAGCTTGAAATCAAAACAAAGCAAAGTTTCTTCCGAACGGTTTATGGTATGATCATAAAACATAGTGTGAACTTGTACCATGTTATAAAGATGTTACACATTTTGTAACGTCATCATGACGTCATCAGGTATCAAATTACAAGCGATTTATGGGCAAAGTTTGACAAAGTAGTTTGCGCTATATCTTTTGAACTAAATAGAGTTGCGTGTTCATTTTTTCATGAGGCTGTACACTATGCCGTAAGAAACATTTCTTGTCTCCGGACACAAAACTGCATGACCTTCACTTCCGGTGTTACCGGAAGTGTAATAAAAACCGAATATAACTCAAAAGCGGAAGCATTTTACTACACACATACAAATGAGGAAAGTGTTTAGTGAGGAATGTCAGACACATAAAACAGTGTGACGACGTCATCTTTCGAAAGCTATAATCTTTGTTACCTCATCATGACGTCATCAGGTATCAAATTACAAGCGGTTTAAGGGCAAATTTTGACAAAATAGTTTGCGCTATATCTTTTGAACTGAATAGAGTATCGTGTTCATTTTTTTCGTGAGGTTGTAGACTAAGCTGTGAGAAACATTTCTTGTCCCCGGACACAAAACTGCTTGACCTTCACTTCCGGTGTAACCGGAAGTGCAATAAAATCATAATATAACTCAAAAGCAAAACTATTTAACTACACCATTAAAGATACATTTTTGTAACAAAATAGTTGATTGTACTGGAAGGGATTTAATTTCATGATCCTTTGTTCTATATAAACGTTTATTCCGAACTTTTCTGGGCAGTGTATAATGAAAAGGCTGTCCGCCCGACCACTCTGCGTTTGTAACTCAACAAACGCGAATCTCTAGTTTTTACCGTTTTTTTTCTCTTGAAATGTCGGCAGATGATGACTGCAAATGGTGCCCGACTAAATTTAGTGCAAATATTATATGGGAATCCAGAGAGGCCACATAAAGCTTATTCTCGATTGTAACCCCATCTAAAAACACGTTAAAATTGTGGCGCAGCAGGATTCCAGTCAAACCAGTGAGTTTTGCGGTTTTGAGACATCATCTTACATTGAAAAATAAAACCACTTTTAATTTTGCCGACGCGCATGGCTACGGCGACGCGTGCACATATCAGAAACCGGAGACTTTTTTGGCCTTATCGTAGTGATCGTATATTAAAAATATACGTAAACGCTCGGATGCGGGCAGGTTACCGTTCATCGTATATCAAAAATATAAATAATTGTGTAAGGTTAGCATTTGCAATCCTATCCCTACTTGGATGCTGGCAAGGTTACCTAACACCAAAAAGACAAACAACTTTGTAAGCTAGGAACCAGTTTGTTATAACTAATATTTGGATGCGGGCAGGTTTAAAGGGCATGTAGGCCTAAAACATTTGTTTTTGCTTCAATTTTCAGAAATAAATGGATTTGGAGGATTAGTAGGTTATAGCAAATATTGTTAAACTGACTTGTTTCAAGTTTGGGCTTGTAGATGCTGGAAAAACCAATAAAATCAACCATGTTCGTGTAGTCTGGTTCCCTGCGCCCACTTAAGATGAAACGGAGCAAATAATACACTTTGGGGAATTGTAAGGCCAGAGAATCAGTCTAGCAGGCTTGTACCCCTTCACAGGTGTGTAATCAATTACAAAGAAAAGTCAGAATAGGCTTACTAAATATGAAACATTTAGAACACTTTTTGAAAAAAACCAGTTTTGCTTGAAAATGTCAGCACACCAGGAGCCACGATTTTACAGGATGCTTTAGACTGTTAATCCCAAACAATTCAGTAGGGTATTTCGTAATAATTTGATCATTTCGTTTTTTTAAAAATGTTTGCAAATGTTGTATTTTCCCTTTAATATATACCACAAAATTTCAACTTTAGCGGAACGCTCCTAAATTCGTTTTAAATATAGTGCGCGCAATTTATGAAGTGGAGCTCGCCACTCCAAACCTCTTGTAACGGCATAAAAGCCTGCAAAAACGAACAAGCAATTTGTATTTCTTACTTGAAATTTTGAATTTCGTTTGGAAAAGAAAATCGACATTTTGCAAAAGCGCGTATAATACCAACTTGTACAAAATACGATATTCCTAACATATATACTATACTAACATCTGTTGGTTTAGTAATAATAATAATAATAATTAGTTCTTATATAGCGCATTACATACGAAATCTCAATGCGCTTTACAAAGAAATTACTTCAATACTTATAAAAAGCTAAATATATATTACTAGTCCATTAAAATGTTTAGTTTGAATGTTATTAGAATACATTTAAAAGCTCATAAAACTACTAATACATCAAAAAGTTAATTAATATATACGGTAAGACCCATAAAAAATGCATTAAAAATCACAATCACCTGGCTGGACGATTACTTAATAAAAATAATAATAATAATAATAATACGTTTTAGTGCTGGCTTAAAAAAAAGTTTAGCTTCATATTCCCGCCATGATTATTATAAGTCACGGTTTTGAAAAGCTAAGCGTTTAGTTTCATGATTCAACAATGCACTCTGTACTATAAAATCCACTACAACCTAGTCAACATTACATTCCCACAGCGATTCCAGCATGCTACACATATTTCACAACGTATCGATCATCCACTCAAATACACCTCTCTGATCACACTAACTATATCATTGTATACAAATACGCCTTTTTCCCAAGGACTATGCCAGTTTGGAACAGGCTTCCACCATCTGCCGTTCTACACATATCCCCATCCGAACAGGCCTTCCAAACACCAGCCATCCCTGCCATCAGAGCAATGCAGCCTCCGGCAATATTGTCCTGTACATTCGTTTTTCTTCACCTGTAAAAAATGCACCTGTTATTTCCTTTTCTTTTTGTTTTCACTTTTGGCACATTATCCATACGGTTTGGGACGTCACCTCTGCACTACATCCCAGTTTAGCCCAAATTGGGTTGCGATGGGATTACTCTGCCAAGTACCATGTTCCAAACGATAAGCGTTCAGCAACAGTATTACCGTACGCATCATAAAGAACCGCTCAACACAATAAAAACCCAATATATGAGAATACCTTCACTATACTGTGACATTAAGATGACCTATAAAATTCGTCACCGTTTTCACGAAGAGCCACATATGTCGATTTTGAAGAAAAAGTGTTTTCGAGATAATCGCAAAAGAAGTTTCTCATATTTTAAAACTGCAAAAAATACCACTTTGCAACAACTTTGTGAAGCAAGGAAACCATCACACTATTCTGTGTGAGCTGAATTTTTACATGAACCCAGTAATAAGACTTAATTCAGCAGTTAATTAGTGAAAATTAATTAGTAAAGATATGTGGCTCTTCGTGAAAACGCTAATTAAGGTTTCCGACATATTGGCCCCTTCTGTTCAATGTGTATTTCCATAGGCGCGCGTGAGTACGCGCGTGCAGCTGAAAATGTAACAAAGATATGTGGCTCTTCGTGAAAACGCAAATCTCATTTGACCTACTTTTTACGAATTTCCGTGCAATGGGTTTTGTACGCGTTCAAAGGGCCAAAATGTATGTGGCTCTTTGTGAAAACGCAAAATTCATTTATCGAGATTTTGGCCCCTTGCAACATTAATGTAACTTGGAAATTAATGATGTTTTGCTTACAAAAACATGTCAAAATGGTTAAGTACATTGTTTTAAAGCAAAATATTGAAAAAAATCAAAATCGAAAAAATGATAATTTTTGACATGTGGCTCTTCGTGAAAACGGTGACTAAATGTAATCCCTGAAACTAATGATTGAGTAATTGTTGGGCCCAAGTTGGTCGTGCTTGGGGACCGAGTTGGTTTTGGGTCCGAGTTGGTAGTGGGTCCGAGTTGGTCGTGGGTCGTGTTACACCTTGAACTATCTCCAAGCAAAAGATTGACGAGGATTTTTTCCGACTAAACATCACGTGAATGGTTTTCAGGTTGGCTTGCGCTTGCTTGGCCGATTTTGAGGCAACAATGACCGTAAGCGCATATATTAGCATATTCATTAGCGTTACCCGGCGGGACTTCGCGTGGGTCTCGGTGTCGACCGATGGAAGCCGGCAAATGGGTGATATTTATTAATTAATAACTGGTGAAGGAGGTTCTTCTGCAAATGTTTACTGCACGCCATAATGGATAGGAGCTTTATTATATGTGAGGCTTGAAAAGATTGACACATATTGCAAACACTGGTGCTACAACTTTTTAATGTATGCCACCGGCCTATTTTTCCAATGTCAATAAAAAAGTACTGAACATATCAAAACGATTTTTAGCCATAAGTTGGATTATTGTAAGGGAAACAAATTCTGGAAGTTGCATGTTGTTTCATTCAAAATAAAGTATTAGTACGTAAACCTATAGAAATCGGCCTTCGCAACCACACGGCTGCTATAGTTCTGCCATTTTGTCCAAACATGTTCCATTCACTCCACCGGCCCTATTCAGTTCCACACTGGTGTTCCTGTACCGTTCTCGCTTACTCCCCCTTGCTATCCTTGCTTTTCTGGACCAATCATAGATTGGCTTTTAATAAATGGAACTTTTCATCAACCAATCAGTGACGGTCTATAAAACCAGCTTGGGCACAGTCGCCATGTTTTGCGTGCACACGTGTCGCTGCATTGGAGTACAGTCGACACTACCCCATAATTTCCCTCGACACTACCCCATAATTTCCCTCGAAAACAAAGATAAATTGTATGCTACAAAAAATTCAAGAATTTTTTTTGAAATAATGCCAACCCCCCTCCCCCAAACCCCAGGCGACGCCAATGGCTGTGTGGTTGGTTTCCCTCGAAAAAAAAAGAAGAAGAATACATTGACAATATGCTACAAAAAGTACCAGGATTTTTGGAAATAATGTGCTCCCTTAGAAAAAGTCCAGGCGGCGCCAGTATGGCTGTGTGGTTGGTTGAAGCTTTTGTGCGTGCTTAAATCGCACACGGATTTATCAAATACTCAGCACCTCTAGCCTTTCACTAAGGCCATCGTGACTTAACTTGGAGGCATTAGACAAAGCGGCGAAAAAAACGAAGCGACTAGAGCGGGAGACCACACACGCGAGTGGCGAAGCCACGAGGGCCTTTTCCAACTTGTCAAGAAATTCTTATGTTTTTCTTTATATAATCTCGATTTTTGCTACCCCAAAAGGGTAGCAAAATTCCAACCAATCATCAGCCTTAAAGGGAAAATACAACATTTGCAAACATCAAAAAATAAAACTACCAAATCATTTTGAAATACCTTGCTGGACTGTTAGTGAATGACAGTGTAAAGCATCCTGTAAAATCATGGCACCTGGTATACTGTCATTTTCAAGAAAATTGGTATTTTTGTATCAATTTCCAACGCTGATCGGCCGATCAGCGTTGGAAAAAACTGGCTTTTTTCAAATACTGGCCCAGTTGACCATCGCACTTGTTTGCAATCGATTACACACCTACATGAACGGGTACAAGCCAGCTAGACTGGTTCCCTGACCTTACAATTCCCCAATATATGTAAACTGCTCTGTTTGTTCTTAAATGGAGTCAGGGAACCAGACTACAGGAAAATGATTGTTTTTCTTGGTTTTTTATAGCATTTTCGAACCCAAAACCTCAAAAAAGTCAGTGTAACTATATTTGCTATATATTTCCAACCCCCCAATTCCATCCATTTCTGAAAATTACAGCAAAAGCAAATGATGTATATTCCCTTTAAGTTTTAGTGCTCGCGTGGCTACTACCCGGCGCGTCGACGCGCCCAGATGCTTGCACAAAATTTAAAAACAAAAAATGCGAGTCTAGTTTTCCACGAGATCGTGACCTTGTAACTGTTCTTACATTATCTTATTTAAATTTTACTAAAAGTATTTTAAGAAATTATTTGAGTGTATGAAATTATGTTTCATCTGAACTTACATTTATTTGCTCTTACGTTTTCCTTACTCACCCTTCTTTCACAAAATGGAAGCGACTAGGCAAAATCCGCGTTGTGATTGGTTAACCTTTCAGCACTCTTCTTATTTGCATAACAACTATGAATAATTCAACAAAATCAAGTTGGAAAAAGCCTCGTGGCTTCGCCACTCGTGCGTGCTGACTTAATCTTTGCTCCAGTCGCTTCGAGCTTTCGCAGCTCTGCCGTTCTAAAACACGATGGCCTTGGCGAAAGGCTACAGCACCTCAAAAATATGAATTGCCTCGAGGGGATGGCGGGTTAGTAGACCTGAACGAGTTCTTCTCATTGTGCATAGAGGCCACTGCCGATCTTTTTGTTCAACGAGACATGACAATACATCGGACGATGAGTGACCTCGTTTACCGGTAAGCCTTCAAAGTTGTTAGGCCTACACAAGTGTGGTTCGTTTACATATCAGGGCACTAGGTGTTATGCGCGCATTGCTGTCTGGTGCCAAGGACGACTTGCACACACGTCGAACACTCCTACATCGAGAATGATCCGACTTTTCCTTCTGTTACTGGCGTTAAGCCACGCTGCTTCAGCACTTCCATATGCTGAACGAGAGGTGAGTTTGGCCGTAATATCATGGGCATGCATCACATTTGTAAATAACACATTTGGAGAGTTTGAGCCAAGGGATCGCCTTGCCTGTCATCAAGGGTAGCCCAGGAAACCAGGGTCCCCCTGAATTATTTTTCGTTTTTTCGTTCTTTCTACTTTCATTAACCGTTCAAAACGCGTACACGTGTTTTTTTTTTTCAATTTAATTTTTTAAAGGCAACGTGACCACCTCTGAAACTGGTATAGCCTATTCGTCTAAATAGGCAAAGCGAGTATTTCATGATTATGGGGAGTTTATTAAGGTTGAGGTCAAGGAAGTAAGTTGTGATGGAAGCTATATCCTCAAAGTTCAGTGTTCTTTCAGCAAATCGAAAACGAATCACATTGTGTGAATTGTTTTCGTTTTCCTGAAAGAACACACACCTTTTTGTGATCCGTGGACAGAGCTTTAAAACGGTGGTTGTGTTTAAAACTCCGTAACTTGAAAAGTACATGAGTGATTTGAATGACACTTGTACTAAAAGAAAGCTTATGAATTGGGCTTTCATTAATTGTGGATTTTGAAGGTAAATTGATATGTCGCAAAATGGAAGAGTTTTAGAAAAGGGGATATTAAGTCCGAATTTCAGCCAAGGAAATTATTTCTGGTTAAAATAAGAGCATTTTGAAACTTCACTTTCAAACTCGAAAACTTTACTACACGAGAACAAAGAAATGTCTCCACAAGGATACAAATGTTAGCATGTGTGTAAAACTATAGATTTGAAAGAGTGTATTACCTTGTTGATGGTGTCTATGGCCGCTTCCTGCTGTTGTTTCTTCGAACCTAGAAAGCAACAAGTATCAAAGTATCTAAAAAAAAAAGTGATGAACAAAAACATTCTGAATGAGAAAAACAATGCCTGCACCGAAGATTATAGAATATTAAATGTATATAGAACCATATGTTTTTCATGGATTTTGTTCGTTTCCAATAATAACGCCACTCAAAATCCAATGAAGATTTTTCAAACCTATAACCTGTTGAAGTTTCAGCTCAGTAGACATTACAGTTTTCAAGAAAACAGGGGGAAAACACTGCACAATCTCTTGATCCCGAAACACGATTTTCGTCAATAGCACTCTTGATTCCAAAAATCCGAAAATCATTTAGGCCTACATTTCTCGATTTCTTCTAAATGACAGCAAACCAGACGGAATAATTGCACGGGGTGTTTAATTATAGCATGGACCAAAACTATGTCCCTGCAGCTATACAATTAATTCATGACAACGGATACGAATTAAATATGCACAAGTTAGTTAGCTGTCCAGCTTTGTCTATCCGGATCCCTTTGTACGGTTTGTTATATCTCAATGTAAAATTTCAAACATTACAACTCGGGTTTGCAATACAAAAAGGAGGAAAACATAACTGAAATTGTTCGAGCACTAACACCCACGAATAAGGGCACACACACACTGTATCGGTATACAGAGCTGGTCTCATATAACAAGTGCGAGTGCACAATAAGCTCTGGCGGTGTTGCAAAACTTGTTTTTGTAAATGCACTGCTAGTCATGCGGCTAGCTCAGTGCTCTTTCGGTGGGTGAACACATGCATACTTAAATAGCCATACTTCAGAATTCTATTCTTACCTCTTGATTCGAGTTGATCCTTGGAGTGGTCTGTCTCCAAACGACGCACTAGCAGATGCAATTCTCGATAAATTTCACCCTGAAGCAAAGTTGAAAAAAAAACACATCACAATTGTTTTCTGACAACGCCACGGAATGGGCGCATTTAAATTTCACGGCATTTAAACTGAAACATGTTTTGGCTTCGGTCGATAGCCTGATTATTATCGATCCGTTCTAGTTTCATAAATTCGATTGCGTTTTAATCAATGGGAATCGAAATTTAGTAAAATCCATATATCTATTTCTCGAAAACCTTGTGGAAACCTTGTATGCATCTATATAAATTGCTTTGTGGAGACGTTTACAATCTTTTGTTCCCTTTTGTGTGCACGTCTCCAGAGGGCACGGTGTATCAGATCATACGTGTGTATTGAGTAATTTTTTATAACAGCAGCGGGCGGAATGGTTTTCAAACTGGGGGCATAGAAGGGGCATGCAGTAAATATATCTTCAAACGGTGTAGGAGCTTATCCAGAATTTTGTTTTTGTGGGGGGCGGGGGGGGGGGGGGGACATCAGTGCTGAAATGTGGACCCTTTTTTCACCCGATAATAGGACACTTGGCCTCCGTAAAATCAAATAGTGTTACTGGGGCGGGGGCTGCTTCCAAAATAGGGGGGATTCTTCAAAACCGGCCATTATGCAAACTGGGGGTAAGTGCCCCAGTCCCGGTTCCGCCACTCCTGTTTTTTAATGCAAATATTGGGGTTTATTTGATTAATAAATATTTCCCTACATGGTGGATGATGCATTACGGTTGGTAAACACATACTTTTATACCGAGTGGTTTATTGATCTGTATATTTGGTTCGTTTGTAGAGTTATTTTATGGGTAAACTACTCGGTTGGGGTTTATAAATTCCACTAAAACATATATAGTGAAGTTTAACTCTTTCACTACCATATACTAGTCTCTAGTTGGCACCAACGTTCGACGACAGTTCCTTACCGTGGCTTCTTTTGGCACCACATTAGAGACACACTCTTGGAAAAAAATGGTCCGGTTAACTTATTCTTTATGATGGGACTTGCAGTTTTGCCTAAGTCAACTGAGCGTGATCGGCTGACTGATAAGATTTACGCACAAAACCCTCGGCCAGTGAGGAGTTGCATAGAAAGCTGGCCGAACCACTTTTTGCGAAAGTGTGCCGGTAACTGAGCCTGCCGGTAATGCTGAGCCTGCATACTGCCAAATTTACCAATGGCATCCCTACATTTTCTCATGCAAATAGGACCCATTTTTGGACCCTCATCTTATCAAATCTGCTCTTAGATAATAGCCCAAAAGCTAGGGAGATGATCCTCTGCTATATTCGCACGATTCCACTGATTTTGAAACTCGACGGTCTCATTTTTTTGCAAAAAATTGTGGGATCACTTTCTATGCAAATGACTCGCGTAGAAATTTTTGAAACCCTAATCAAAATGATTGCGCCCGCTGTTGGTCTCATTGCGCCATTCAGATATATCGTCTCTCTAGCCCCCCTCCCCCCCCCCCTCCCCACCACATCGAACAATGATATATAGTAATTAAATACTGTTTAAAAAAGTGCTCGTTTATTCAGAAATTCATGAAGCATAATATCCAAACTGATTGGATGTTTCCAAAGTGTCTTTTCCATTTGCAAAACTTCTTTTTAGAAGCCCATTCATTAGAGACACACTCTTAGAAAAAATGGTCCGGTTAACTTATTCTTTATGATTGGGCTTGCGGTTTTACCTTAGTCGACTGAGCGTGATCGGCTGACTGATAAGGTTTACGAACAAAACCCTCAGCCAGTGAGGAGTTGCATAGAAAGCTGGCCGAACCAAGTTTTGCGAAAGTGTGCCGGTAAGGCCAAAAAAAAAGTCTCCGGTTTCTGGTATGGAGCTTGCCCAAAAAGTAGCGAGGCGGCGATGCGGTTTTTTTTTTTTTTTTTACCTGATTGTTTTGCTTCAAATGTCGGCTGATGACTGCAAATGGTGCCCGATTAAACTTAGTGCAAATATATGGGAGTCCAGAGAGGCCAAATAAAGCTTATTCTCGACCATAACCCAATCTAAAAACACGTTAAAATTGTGCAGCAGCAGGATTCCAGTCAAACAAGTGAGTTTGGCGGTTTTGAGACATCATCTTTCATTGAAAGAAAAACCTTTTTCATTTTGCCGACGCACATGGCTACGGCTACGCGCGCGCATACCAGAAACCGGAGACTTTTTTGGGGGGCCTAATGAGTCATTTTGCATTTTCCGAAAATGTAAATAGCGCCCTCTCTCGCAGGAAACTATATCTGGCATCTGCGTTCACTGTTGTATTTGACACATCTTACACAGATGACTGCATTATAAAATAACGGTTTTCCCTGCCCTGCCCCTCCCTATGCAATGTTGATAGGGGTATTAGCCAGTTTACCTATTCGCCCGATTTATGGTATAATGGTATCCATTTTGGATCTGTATAAGTCCTTATAATCATCCAGTCTCTGATATGCTTCAGAAAATGTTATTTACGGAAAGACATGTCTGTAGAATCTCCAAAAATATACTTTCCAATAAATGCAAAATACAAATACACCCAAAAATGGGAATAAATATATTACACGGCCGTGTAATATACTTATCTTGCGCAGTAAGTATTACCGATTTATTCAAATTAGGTATTTTGGGTCAACATTAAGGATGACGTCCACATACATTTTCTACCCTATCCTCTGAATGATTGATCTGACAGGGTTGCCTATTGTTACCAAAAAAATGCCGTCCCAAGTGTTAAAATTCCACTTTGGCTCGTGCACTATTATCGTTGCAGGACCCGGAAGAATTCGACGATATGGACGAGGGAACACTAAGCAGTTACAGAGGTATTGACCCATATCATGCTTCCACCATTTTAGTCATGTTTCCTGTATCCAATAACAGTACTGAATGAAAATGTTTTTATGCAAAAAGGAACCAGACTATTTTTCCTCCAGCCTCGTTTGGTTACATTTATTTGAATGGGAACAAATCAGACAAATGGCTGTGCGTGATAATGGTCTATTGCATGCAGCTAGTTTCCGATGTGTTTCAAGTAGTATACATGAAACCGAGTTAAAAGTCGGATAAAATGTTGCCTTTTTTGGTTGTCATTTTAGATAATGTGAATCACAACACAAATAATAATGTTAAACTACAAATTGGTGACCAAACGACGTCCTAGCTGGGGGGGGGGGGGGGTGGTTGGGGGAGGGGGCATTTGCCCTTAAAGTATCTTACTATTTCTTAGAAGTTATCTTATCCCAATAATGGTATAGATATTTTTGACATAAACGAGGAATATGAAAACCAAGTCCCCAAACCCATACAATACGGCCTGAAAATGGGCACATAATGCATATTTAGCATATAATCATTAGTTTTGAAGAGCGCCCCCTATGTTTGAAGATGGTACCAGCCCCCCCCCCCCCCCCCCCCCCCCCCCCCCCCCCCCCCCCCCGCACTATTTGATTTTACGGAGGCCAAGTGTCCGGTGAAAACAACGTGTTGACATTTCAGCACGGGTTTGCAAGTGCCCCTTTTTGGTGATCCCCCCCCCCCCCCCGTTTCAAACCCGTTCCGCCGCCGCTTGTCCTAGCTTATGAAATGCATTACTTAGCATAATGATTATGGATGGAGCACGATATTGCCTGTAAAATCTATTGGTGTAGTCATTTGCTTTTTGTAAATAAGAATGTTGCCTTTTTGTTTAAATTCCAAATTTTCACCCTTCTTTTACAGACACGTTCATTGAGTACGATGCAGATGGTTCCGGAGGCATCGGTAAGATCATTATCAAAATTAATAAGACGTATGAAAACCAAAAGTTTGCACAAGATTTAGTTAACTAGTACATTGTAATGCTTAGATGTGGGGGGGGGGGGGGGGGCAACGCAAATTTTTCCCCCAAATTCACAAACTTTTTCTTTATATTCACAATTTATCATTTTCCCGAGCGTGAGCAGGGGAGCATTTGCCCTACCCCCCCCCCCCCCATCAAATTGAGCAATGTAGCTTCGCACCTCTTTTTCCTTTTTTCCCCTGTTTCCATTTTTTCCCTCGTTTCCCCGGGGGGGGGGGGGGGAGCGCCCCCTTGCGCGACGCCTATGCGCCACCAGTATCAATATTAATTTCATAAGGAATGTTACTGTACTGCAGAGAGATTTCAAGAACAGACAACTTTCTCCGTCACTGTCATTTAATGGAATATATATCGCAATTTGATTTCGTTGTCATCATGCCGTGAATCCCCCCCCCCTTTTTTTTTTAAAGAAAACCCGAAAAAAATGTTATACTGGGCAAAGTCAAAGATAAACAACGAAAGCCTGGTATGGAAATGGCCCAGGATTTTAAAAGGGAAATTCACCTCATTTTGTGTGTGTGCCATTTTGTACTTATTTTAGATCTCACGGAATTGTTTCAGTACATGATGGTGGAGCTGGGACAGAACAGGCCCCAATTCGAGCTGAGGGGGATGATCGCGGAGTTTGACACCAACCACTCGGGTTCAATCGACTTCACTGAGTTCGTCCGGATGATGCTGGGCATGAAGTCCAGCGTCTAAGCTGTGAGTAATGCATAGCATCAGAACACGTACGTTAAAAGTCGAACGCTTTATTATGCGTTTGACGTAGAACGCCTGCGATAAAAAGTGAACGTAAGCGTTAACAGTGGAGTTGAACGCCTGTTTATGAAGTTGGTTGTTTAGCTTGTTTTTGCGTGGTTGTGACAGAGAAGGGTAAAACGTTCGAAGAAATCCGTTTCAACGCTTGTCTAGGCCAAAACAAGTTTTGGTTTCTGGTACTGAGCTTGCCTCAAACGTGGTGCGGCGACGCGGTATTTCCTACTACTTTTTCTTTCTTCAAATGTCGGCTGATGTTGCAGATGACGCTTCGATATCCCCTAAAAAATATTCTTTAGAATGGAGCTTGAGGCGACCTCAGTAAGGCCATAAGGCTTGAGAATTCTGCGCCCACTTACGATCTCGACCGACACGAACTTTCTTCAGGAAATTTGGATATAGTCAAGACAAAAATCAGAGAAAACGTAACGTCAGACCACAAAGTGACATTGACATCGTGCATGAGCAGACAACCTGGTAATTAGTGTGATCCATTACATATTGCGCTAATTAAACTTTTTACAGGTTCCATCCAGATACACGACCATCGCTCTCTTAGTCTGGCTTCCAGACGAACAATTACAAAATTACAACACCGTCTGCAAATGGAGCCCGACTAAATTTAGTGCAAAATATATGGGAGTCCAAAGAGGCCACATAAAGCTTATAATCGATCGTAACCCGATCTAAAAACACGTTAAAATTGTGCAGCAGCAGGATTCCAGTCAAACCAGTGAGTTTGGCGGTTTGGAGACAGATCATCTGACATTGAATTTTTTTAAAATTATTTTGCCGACGTGCATGGCCAAGAAGAAGCGCGCGCTGACCAGAAACCAGAGACTTTTTTGGCCCTAAGAAGATGGGAATTTAAAATGTTATTAAATGTGCACCTTGCATTTTATTTTGAAAATGTAAGTGCTTCATAATCACCTCCGAATTTGAATAATTCATGTGCTGATTGTATTATATAGGGTGAGTAAAAAAAACCGAAACCCAAATGTTGGGACCATTGTTTTAGTGAAGTTCTGTATAGCACTTTCCAAATCTCGGATATGAAAGCCCGATTCATAAGCTTTCTTTTAGTACAAGAATCATTCAAATCACTTATACACTTTTCAAATTACGGAATTTTAAATACAACCACCGTTCTTTGTTGACTATAAGAAGGCATTTGATTCAGTTAATCGTGCACTTCTGTTTGCAAAGCTACGATATCTTGGCATGGAGGAGGATGTGATGCGGCTACTTGAGGATCTTTACATCAACTCAAATGGCAAGCTCCGGTGGAAAGGTCGGATGACAGACGAGTTTGAGACACCAGTCGGAGTACGCCAAGGCTGTCCATTGTCACCAACACTCTTCAGCCTCTACACTGAGTGTCTCATGCGAGAGTGGTACAATCGCACAGCACACCTAACGGCTCCAGATGTCAGTGGTATCCCCCTAAAGGAGATCAGATATGCTGACGACCTGGTTCTGATGGCGCTGTGCAGAGCTGATGCTGAAGAGATGCTTACTACCCTGGGTGATATATCTGACGGGTATGGGTTAGCCATCCACCGTGGTAAGACTGCATATATGATCATCCAGCCAACAACCGATGACAGGACCATCACATACCGCTCGGCACAAATACCTCGTGTCACATCTTTCAAGTATCTAGGAGTGTTGATCGACCACACACTAGACGACAGCAAGGAGGTTCGGATGCGGTTAGGTATGGGCAGATCCACTCTTCGGCAGTGCAAGTATCTGCGCTCCCCCCGCGTCAGCCTTGAGGTAAAGGTACAGCTTGCTCGGGCCCTAGTCATATCAAGGGTACTGTATGGTGCCACCACCCTGTCGTTGAAGGCAGCTGACATCAAACGCCTAGACAGTTTTGGCCGAACCATTTGGCGTCACCTGCTCAACATCAAGTGGCAAGATCATGTGACAAATGAAAGACTGATGGAGATGATCGGCGACCGGTGGTGCTTCAGCAGTAGCACTGTGATGGAACGAAAGGCAGCATGGTTGGGCCATGTGGTTCGGCATGGCGGCATGGCGGCAGCTGTTGTGGATGGGATGCCAGTGGGATGTCGTCGCTCCGTGGGCCGGCCAAAGATGCGCTGGGTGGACAACATCCGTGAATGGTCTGGGTGTCACACCAACGAACTGAAAGCAGCAGCACTGGAAAGACGGGCTGTGGTGGGAGCGGCGTCAGTGATCCCAACTCTGTATAATTTGAGGAGGAGACCACGGGCAAATGCCTACGTCTAACGAATGAATGAATGTTTTAAAGTTCTGTCTATGGACCATAACAAAGTTAATTGTTCTTTCAGTAAAACGAAAACAAATCCCATAGGGATGTGTGTGATTTGTTTTTGTTTTGCTGAAAGAACGCACACCTTTTTTATGATCCGTGGACAGAACTTTCAAACGGTGGTTGTGTATAAAATTCCGTAACTTGAAAAGTACATGAGTGATTTGAATGAATCTTGTACTAAAAGACAGCTTTTGAATTGGGCTTTCATGTCCTGGATTTTTACTCACCCTGTATAACAATTTTCAGTCCTTTTATACGATAGAGTTTGCGATTGGTTTTTTGACCTTCACCGACACTGATATTTTGTATAAACACTGTACACGCTGTGTTGTCCCGAGTGATTGTGAGACAAGTGTGTTCAGTGCGTTTTCCAAGGCGAGGACAAACTTTATGCTATTTTCCAAACGGCTGTTGTATCATGTAGTGTTATAAAAATACAACTACATGATTCTTCATTCAACAGCCGTGTGCTCTTTTTGTTTTTCTGTATAGTGTTACTCAACGTGTGATCTAACAGTTGTTTCGATCGTTCATGTGTCACTTTTCCGCTTGATTTCTAGACATTTGAAGGTTTTCACAGGGCAAATTTAATACTGAACATAAGATCCCACGAGGCGATCTTTTACATACAATAGATTTTAAAATGGCCGTCGTAAAATATATCTCTTACAACGGCCACAAAAACATTTACTGACGACAACATTGTTTAGGCTTGATTGCTGTGGGCTTTTGACATTATCACTGGCAAAATGTTCATCTTTTATAATGATACCATTCTCTGTTTGACAGTCATGGTTTACCGAAATTGAAGTAGGCCGAACTAGAATCAAGTCTAGCTATTTGTACCTTCCTTTTTGAAAATTAATCTCTTTTTTTTTCTCTCTTGATTCTCAGCATTTTGATGTCCGAACAGAAGAAATAAGAGAGAGGATTCCCATAAGGAACCTAGCTGATCTTCCATGAGTTCGACCGCAACAAGAAGCTAGGCATTATTTTGGTCCCGACATTATACATACAACGGAATATTTTTGATGCCATTCAGGTGCAGATCCAAAGGGGGGGGGGGCAGCCCTGACTCAAGTTTCTTCCATAAAAATACCTTAAAAAAATGTGAACCCCCTTCCCCTTTCTTGCACTAACACAAATTATACTGCAAATAATGTCCGCCTGTGCGAAATTCGGACAGAGCCCGCTTTGTAACGGGGTTATAATTTGTACACAAGAGTGTTATGATCATCGGATTTGAACAGCGCCCCCATTGAAGGATTGTTTTTACGGACTCCAATTTTGTTTCCGAAGAAAAAGTAAAACCTGTCTACATTTCAGCATTGATTTGCTGGTGAACCCCCCCCCCCCCATCATAAGTATAATGTGTTAACTACAACCGAATTGCCGATTGTATGTCCTGTGTCATTACTTTCAACACCCAAACCACCATCATTTCATCTTCTTATCTTCAGCTTTCCACTATCTACAGTAAAACTCAAAATACAGGGTGAGAAAAAAAAGAAACCCAAATGTCGGGACTATTGTTTTATTGAAGTTCTGCATGTAGCACTTTCGAAATCACAGATATGAAAGCTAAATTCATTAGCGTTCTTTTAGTACAAGAATCATGCAAATCATTTATGTACTTTTCAAGTAGGGGAATTTTAAACACAACCATCAGTTAAGGTTCCGTCCACGGATCACAAAAAAAGGTGTGCGTTCTTTCAGCAAAACGAGAACAGTTCACACACATCCCTATGTGGACAGAACCTTAAAACGGTGGTTGTGTTTAAAATTCCGCAACTTGAAAAGTACATAGATGATTTGAATGATTCTTGTACTCAAAGAAAGCTTATGAATTGGGCTTTCACATCTGAGATTTTGAAAATGCTACATGCAGAACTTCCCTAAAACAATGGTCCCAACATTTTGGTTTCGGTTTTTTTTTACTCATCCATTATTACCAAGTTACATCATGTATTCTTTTTGGTAATAATTTTGTTCATGACCAGTGCATTTATTTGTGTCTTTATAAGCCTTTTTAATAGGATTTAACTCCAAATTCTACCAAGTTTTGTCTCAGAATTTTCCAAGGGGCAGGATTTTTTAATAGGTGTCGGAAATACATGCCTATATATACACACTGTGCACATGTATGAGCATTTTTTTAATTAGTAATTAATTAACATTCATTGTGTACTTCCCCAAATTTGATTTTGGTAAAATTTGTTTTGGAGATAGTTGGAGTCCCAATAAATGCTTTAGCACCAAAAGTTGCTCGTAAACTCAAATTTCAGGGTCATTGTCAATTATTCTTACTGGACTACACCCACAATTTCGAGAAAAAAATCGACGTTTTTTAACATTGACTATTCTGAATGGCCCCTAGACTAATTATTTGCTTGAAGACAGACTCTCCATCAACTGTAATAATTAGTCTGATTTCATGAACACTTTCGCAGCCAAACAGCTCAACGACCTCAAAATAAATGATATAAAGTGAGACCAAATATCTGAATAACCTAGACCCCGGGTATGAGAGGTTAAGTGACATTAAACAGCCGTCATATTGGAATAATATCCTATCGACAAGTTGGTTTATTTATATGGTTTGGCGAGGACATAGTACACCTTTTCCCGATTGTTCAGTACAAATCGTTCACATCACGAAGGAGCACGGTTCAACATTAGCATCAGGTATAGATGCAAGGTCGAATGTTAACAATGCGAAGGCATACATGGTTCGAACTGCGAAGAAGCAAAGTGCCAGTCTTCGGCCAAGACGTCAGTAATCAAAAGTGATTGTGGCATTGTTGTAGAGCGCCCTTTCATAATTGTTATTTTACTTTCTCGCTGTTGTCTTGGTAATCTTGCAGGAATGGGTGTTTGGCCATTTTATGTAAATTAGACAGTTTGTGTAAAATATTAATATCTTCGAACAACAAGGCAGCATCCCACTTGATGCCCATTATGGCTATACTCAAAAATAGAAATGCCGGTATCGTCTACACTTCCATATGGAGTTTGACGGAGCCTCTGACGTTCTTGGCGTTTATGCAACCAAATTACGCTGTACAAAAAAAAAAAAAAATTCACACGCACCAAAAAAATATATTCACACTCATTGAGTGGCACTATCCGTCTTCTGTAGGAAAACCAATATATTTAAATACAGTTATTGGTTGCTGAGTACCGAGCTTCATAAAACTGGTGGGTTTTTTTTCAGGACAAACAAGTCATATGGAAGAGAAGACGTGATCTAATTTTTGAACCACGTTTTTTCTGGTGCTGCACATTATGGCTATACTCAAACATAGAAATGCCGGTATCGTCTAGACTTCCATATGGAGTTTGACGGAGCCTCTGACGTTCTTGGCGTTTATGCAACATAATTATGCTTATCATAAGTGGGTTTTTGTAATGGTTTTTTGTCTTTGCATGGGCATAATAAATGCTGCTCTGAGAACGAAAGATTAGTTCGTGGCCAAAACACTTACGAAATATAAATCCTCTGCATTAAGTTAAGAGAGGAAGAATGGTGACGTAAGATTGCAATCAGTTAAGGTGAAAATAAGTTGACTAAAGACTACTTAGCAAATTGACTACAGTATGTCCCCAAAGAAAACAGGGTCGCCGTGCTTATCAATTTAGTACGGCAGTAGCACGGCCCAGTTTTAAACGTCGTGCTACTTCCGTGTCGAATATAATTTCATTTCGCAGTTGGCCGGCCAACTTCGAATTGAAATTGCATTCGACTCGGCAGTAGCACGCGACGTTTAAAATCACGCGTTGTGCTAGTGTCGTTAAACATCGTTTATAATTAGGAATGCGCATGCTCGCAACGTGTGTACGAGTAAAGAAATAATCAACTAACAAACGCATCAACAAATATCGCGACTTACATGGATAATTTTCAAGAATCGTAGGGTTTGCACACCTGTAAATAGGCCTAAACCTATCAGCGGAGCTCATGAATAAAAGTTATGCCCCCAAATATTCCACATTACAGAGTTCAGAGAGTCATGAAATTGGGGAATTGAAAAGATATGGCAATGAACCTCTGGCCCGGACTTGGGGCTTCCAATACTGAACATTTTGGATGCAATTGTACTCTAAACTGGCGCTTTATTGCAATGTTGTGGAGCTATCGGTTTTTTTTTTCAAAGATGGCTCAGTATTTTTTCCACTTTGGAAAAAATAGGAGACGTCTTCTATGGGTGAGAATTTCTCGAAAAGTCAATAGACAATACCACAAATTGAAAAGAAAATGAACTGATGACATGTTGATCATCATTTTTTTCTGTGCAGCTTAAATACCTGTGAGGGTTCGTGCAACTCTAACTGATCAAGAGCACAAACAATTAGAAAAATTCGGAAATTGGCCAGAAAAATACGGAAGACGGACAAACAAGTCATATGGAAGAGAAGACGTGATCTAATTTTTGAGCCACGTATTTTTTGGTGCTACACATTATGGCTATACTCAAACATAGAAATGCCGGTATCGTCTAGACTTCCATATGGAGTTTGACGGAGCCTCTGACGTCCTTGGCGTTTATGCAACATAAATCATAAGTGGGTTTTTGTAAAGGGTTTTGTCTTTGCATGGGCATAATAAATTCTGCTCTGAGAACGAAAGATTAGTTTGTGGCTAAAACAATTACGAAATATTAATTCTCTTCATTAAGTAATGAGAGGAAGACTGGTAATGTAAGATTGCATTCAGTTAAGGCGAACATTCATTGACTAGACTACTTAGCAAATGAACTACAGTATGCCCCAAAAAGTGTCCGTCTGAATATCTTTGAAATAACAACAAAACCACCGAATAAATGTTGACAATTTGTAATTGTGCAGAGACTCCTAATCCGTGGCCGAAACCCCAGCTACGAGTGTTAGTTAATTTTCTTCATGCCTCACTGCACAATGCGTCACCGCTTTCACGAAGAGCCACATAATTATGTCAAAAAATTATCATTTTTCCGATTTTATAGGAAAAACTCAAAAATGAGGTTCTCAAAAAAAGAAAAAGTAAATGTTCATATTGCAAATTTTTGAATGTTATTATTAAAAAGGCTAAAATTAAAGTGTCGTTCGTTGGCTACCGTAGAGGATTGAGTTGATGCTTACTTTTTCCCGCCCAACTTCATAAGCTGTGTAAAATCTGTGATGTTGTGAAAAAAATGCTGATGTGGTTGGGGATTTTTGGGGAGGCCTTTAGAAATAACTCTTTGCTAAAAAAAATGCTTTCAATGAATTATTTTTCCCTCTTGATATTCATGAATATCAATTTGCATTGATAAATTGTGAAAAAAAACCCAATCAACCAAATAATTAAAAGAAAAGAAAATCGGTCGCCGTTTAGTGTTTGCTCTATGTAAAGTTTGTTGCTGCCTCAGCAAATGGGTGACATTATGCAACTTTTGGAAGAGCATTTCTGGCATTTCATATATGGCTACATATGAACTCAAATATATAAAAAAAAAAGAGTAAAAGTTCATATTGCAATTTTTTGAATGTTAATATTAAAAAGGTTAACATTAAAGTGTCGTTCCTGGGCAACCGTTGAGGATTGAGTTGATGCTAACTTTTGCCCGCCCAACTTCAGGCCTGTTTCAAACGTCGTGCTACTGCCGTGTCGAATATAATTTCAATTCGCAGTTGGCCGGCCAACTTCGATTTGAAATTGTATTCGACACGGCAGTAGCACAACGTTTGAAACCACGTGTCGTGCTAGTGCCGGGAACATCGTTTATAATTAGGAATGCGCATGCTCGCAACGTGTGTACGAGTAAAGACATAATCAACTAACAAACGCATCAACAAATATCGCTACTTACAGGGATAATTTTCAAGAATCGTAGGGGTGCACACCTGTAAATAGGCCTATCCGCCGAGCTCATGAAGAAAAGTTTTACCCCCAAAATATTCCATATTAGAGAGTTCTGAGAGTCATAAAATTGGGGAATTGAAAAGATATGGCAATGAACCTCTGGCCCGGACTTGGGGCTTCCAATACTGAACATTTCGGATGCAATTGTACCCTAAACTGGCGCTTTATTGCAATGTTGTGGAGGGATCAATTTTTTTTCAAAGATGGCTTAGTATTTTTTTCCGCTTTGGAAAAAATAGGAGACGTCTTCTATGGGTGAGAATTTCTCGAAAAGTCAATAGACAACCTACCAAAAATTGAAAGAAAATGAACTGATGACATGTTGATCATCATTTTTTTCTGTGCAGCTTAAATACCTGTGAGGGTTCTGAGTATTTTAAAACAGAAGTTTGAAGTATTTAGCATTAGTGTCTATGGGCAGGGGTGCATCCATAGGCAGATGGGGAATTAGCGTAACGTTCTCGTCATGCCTTGACAACAAAAGGACTACAATAAGGCGCACCATAGCTTTCTTCCAGGAATAAGTACCCGCTGAAGCAAAATTCGTTTTCTTCGTGCATAACTAATTAAGAGCACAAACAATAAGAAAACATTCGGAAATTGGCCAAAAAAATAAATCCAAATTAC